CACCTCCACTTACCAACACCGGAACTTCCGGTGCTGTATAGGCAGCAACGCTCCGCGAAAGGGGCCGAATCCCGGCGCCCCGCCCCTTCGGTACTTTCTGTCGGGTGGGCCGCGTGACTACGCGCCACGCCCCCCCAGCTCAGGAGGGTCTCGTACACTGTGGCTGGGTGCCTGCTTCATCTCCTCCGGCCCTCGTTCCTCCCGGGGGCGCAGGCTACGCCTTCCTTGCCGACCCCGCCACACCGTTCTGTCCTGCGGGTTTCGGTGGCCCGCAGGGCGGTGGCAGGCAGGGAGGGTGACTGTAAAGGCAAGCGCCCTACCCTCCAGAAAGGGACCCTTTCCACAGTGGAGAGTTGGGTTGGCATAGTTCTTACACCAGGGTTTCAATACGGTCTTCCCGGCAACTCAGGAAATTCAGGGCAAATGCCATTTTGGAAAAAGAGGAAACTGAGGAAGCAGAGAAATTCAGTGGCTTCTCTGCGGTGGTTGCAAACTGGCAGACCCTGGATTTGCAGGCACTCAGGCTCATACAGTTGGTGTCCCTCATTAGGAAAAAGATACAAAAAACGACAAGCCCCCCACCTAACCGGTGGGGCTCGGTTGGTTGGGCGTCGTCCGGCAAAGCCAAGAGTCTCAGGCTCGGTTCTGGTCAGAGCACATGCCTGGATTGCAGGTTAGGTCCCCCGCTGGGGTGCGTGCAGGAAGGCAGCCCACGGGTATTTCTCCTCTCATATCAATGTTTCCCTCCCTCTCTTTCTCCCTCCCTTTTCCTCTTTATAAATAAATAAAATCTTTTTAGAAAGTTACAAGCCAAAAGTTAGGAAAGTGAATTATTTCGAAAGAAAGAAATCACATGACATTTTGAAAAGTAAACCCACAAACATCACACAAATAACCATAACATTTCTGTCAAATGCCTGATACACTTCAACAGGGCCCCCAAAAGTCCAGAAACATCATTATTTCACTTTACTTTTTAAAAAATATTTATTTTCGGAGAGAGGAGAAGGGAAGGAGAAAGAGGAAGAGAAACATCAACGTATGGTTGCCTCTTGTGTGCCCCCAGAGGGGGACCTGGCCCTTTGGTTCTCAGCCTGTGCTCAATCCACTGAGCTATACCAGCCTGGGCTCATTTTACTTTTTTAAAGATTGAAAATGCCCTTGATATTATGCATATTCACCTGTGTTTTGAGACTTAAGGGCACCATTTATGATCATTTCCCCAAATTTTTCAGTTGCATACTTTTGATCACCTTTTTCTATGACCATTATTTGGTAATATTTTCTATAAAGAAAATAGATTGGTTTTTTCTTAGCATGGTGCTGAAAAATCAATTTTTTTAGCTGAAATTACAAATTTCAGCTTCACTGGCAATTTTGTGTGTGTTTTTTACTGGATCTCCAGCGTTTATCTGGACAGATTTGTCTGCTACATTAAGAGGAGATCTGACCCAGTAAAATGAATAAAACACATGACTTCACATACAGACAGACTCATTGTAGTTCAACTACAAGTTTGTGTCCCAAAACAGGAATTCTAATATATTCCATTTAGCATGATTCACATAAAAACAAAAATAAGTATGGTGCATTTATAAATGTACATATGACATTACTAGATAGCTCGCTGGTGAGTGAAAATCTCCATTTTAGGTTAGGCTTTTTAGATTAGGCATTGAGGAAACTGACCTTTCATTTGTAATTTGTTGCTTCTGATGGTTGAAAGGATTTTCTATGGACTCATTTTCCCTCTGTTTCAAGTACTGTTTCTCCTCTACTACCCATGCGTTTCCTGGGCCATCACAGAGCTCCTTTGCCCTCTGGCCCTGCACCTTCGTGACGTGGTGCTGGCTGAGTTGGCGTAATGGGCAGTAGGTGTATTCCAGAAAGCCAGTCCTACACCCACGGGAGCAATCATTTCACAGTATGCGGAAATGACTGCAAACCACATCAATGCATACCAGTAAACCCGAATTAAATGTGTCCCTAATTCAATCACTGTCCCTTTAGCCAGATCCCAAAAAAGCCCATGGCCATTGCTATAGCACCAAATGTTGGAGCCCGGGGGAGGGGCAAGCCATGGAAGGAAGTCTTAAACATCTTACTTTAGAAACTTTTACAGAACTTCCGCCACGATAGAGGCATAGGTGGATGTGCCGTGCCTTCTCACGCAACCAAGTTTAGAGACAACTAAATATTAGCAACAGAAAACACAGCCAGAACACGGAAAATTGAACTTTTCGGAAGTCTGTTAACAACAAATTCTTCAGCCTGACCGGTAAGGGGTGAAACCAGCAGCTTGTAGAGTGGGGTAGCACCGAGGAAAACTCGGTCGGACGGACTCAGGCTCGCGGAATCCAGGCGCAGGGTTGGACCTGGTGGGCAACTCAGCAAGCAATCGCGGGGAAACAGCAAGGGAGCAGGGCTGCGGGTTGACTGTGGTCGCGTATTTGTGTGTGGATAGACAAGCGAGGGAGTGGGCGATTGGACGGGAGCCAGCAGCCCCAGCGGCCTGCGGTAGTGGAGGGCGTCGCCATTTCCCGCTCTGACCCTGCCTCCACATACAGCGTCTTAACCCAGCGACTCTGAGTGGCCTGGCCCAGGTGAACCATGTAAGGCACTGCTCCTCACCCAGCTGTGAGAAACAGCAGAGGGGGTCGCAATTTCCCTGCTCTGACTACACCCCCACATTCAGCGTCACAACCCAGCGACCTGGGAGTCCAAGGCAGCGCTTCTCACACTTAAAGGGCGTGAACAGACCAAAAATGTCGCAAGAAGATCTCAAAGCCCCAGAGCCCATAGATCTAAGCAATGAAGAAATAGCAAAACTCTCAGACGCACAGTTTAATACACTGGTGATCAGGATCCTCACAGAACTGGTTGATTATAGCCACAAATTAGACAAATATATGAAGACGAAACTAACTGAAATGAATGGAATTGCACAGGACACCAATAGCAGTGAAAAGGAAACTGGGACTCAAATCAATGGAGTGGACCAGAAGAAAGCAAATAATGGCCAAACAGAAAAGAGTCAAGAAGCAAGAATTCAAAGAAAGGAGGAGAGTCTTAGGAACTTCCAGGACATCTTTAAACGCTCCAACATCCGAATTATAGGGGTACCAGAAGGGGGAAAGGCACAGCCACCAGTGGGAAACTTATTTGAACAAATAATAAAGGAGAATTTCCCCAATCTGGCAAAGGAAATAGACTTCCAGGAAATCCAGGAAGCTCAGAGAGTACCAAAGAAGTTGGACCCAAGAAGGAACACACCAAGGCACATCATCATTACATTAGCCAAAATTAAAATGAAGGAGAGAATCCTAGAAGCAGCAAGAGCTAAGGGGACAGTCACCTACAAAGGAGTCCCCATCAGACTGTCAGCTGATTTCTCAAAAGAGACCTTACAGGCAAGAAGGGGCTGGAAAGAGGTATTCCAAGTCATGAAATCCAAAGACCTACAACCAAGATTGCTCTATCCAGCAAAACTTTCATTTAGAATGGAAGGACAGATAAGGTGCTTCTCAGATAAGATCAAATTCAAGGAGTTCATCATCACCAAGCCCTTATTATATGAAATGTTAAAGGGACTTATCTAAGAAAAAGAAGTTAAAAGAAAACATGAACAGTGAAAGGACAACAAACTCACAGTTATTAACAACCACACCTAAAACAAAAGCAAACTAAAAGGACAGCTAGATCAGGAGTGGAAACATAGAAATGAAGATCTCAAGGAGGGTTAGCAACAGGGGAGTGGGAGGAGGAGAAGGGGGGAGAAGGTACAGAAAATAAGTAGCATAGACAGTAGATAGAAAATAGATGGGGGGGGCAAGAATAGCATGGGAAATATAGAATCTAAAGAACTTGAGACACATGGACATAAACTGAAGGGGGGGTAATGGTGGGGACGGGGTAGGGTGGAGGGGAATAAAGGGGGGAATAGAACAACTGTAATGGCATAATCAATAAAATTAAAAAAAAAAACTTTCACAGAAATATTTGACCAAGTGCATATACTGCTAGGGCTCCTCCAGGGGCCTCGGAGGGGCCTGTGTAAGTGAGGGGCCTGAAGCTTAACTTCATTAATTTGTGGTATCTCATCTCTAGTTGTAGGGGACTCCAAACTAATTCTACTACTCCAAGCCAAGTGACTTTCTTCCACATAGCTGAAATATTTAGACTTAGCTTTAATTAGTTTTAAAACATGCATATTACAAGGCCTAACCTCCAAGAAGTCATAAACATATTGCCCGGCTGTGTGTAGCTGAGTGTCCTACCATTAGTATTCAATACCATTTGAGGGTAAACTGAGCTGGGAAAATACAATACTTCATGGAATTATAGATTCTATTTCCCAAGTCTCCTACTTAAGCATTTATTTTGTAATCAGAAAAAAAACATTTTTCAAAACAGTATGAATATTAAAAGCTATAGAATACACCTGGGAAAATGACAGGTAAAATATGATAAACCAATCATCATTGGCATTTTTCATTCTCATGGAATTTAACATATTGAATATTCTTTTAAGAGTTTATTCATTTATTTTTAGAGAGAGGGGAAAGGAGGGATAAAGGAGAGAAGAATTGACGTGAGAGAGAAATATTGATCGCCCCAACCAGGTACCAACCAGACATGTCCCCTGACCTGGAATTGAACACGCGACCTTTTGCTCTGTGGGATGTCACCCAACCACCTGAGCCACACCAGTCGGGGTACATTTCGAATATTCTTGCAAAATTTGCTCATCCTCTAGATCAAACATTTAATTATTCTTCTAATAGAACCATCAAGGGATGTCCTCTGGGTAGTTGCTCCTACTGACCTAAAAAATGTTAGGGAATATAACTTCCCTTTAACAACTCAGCGTGGGAAATGAATTCCAGACATTCACTACAACAAGAGATCAAACTTTAATGTGCATGAAAGTCACATGAGGGTCATGTTACATTGCAGATAGTGACTCAGAAAGGAGGCAGGAGAGAGGCCTGAACGCCTGTGTTTCTGATAAGCAATCTGGGCTGCGGCAGACATTTATAGACCACATTTTTAATAGCAAGAGTCTAGAAAACTTATTTGATAGCTTCATTGAGATGCAACTGGTATCCGAAACAACTGCAAGGATCCCAGTTTACAGTTTGATGGGTTTTGACACATGCAGTGTACTTGTGAAATCATTATCACCATCAAGATAACAAATACTTCCACTACCCCTTCTGTAATCTCTTCCTCAACCCCTTCCTTCCCCCAAGGCTTTTCAGTAGACATTTCTCAAATTGCGCTTGTCACAACAGACTCTGACTTCTATAAACAGCTCAGAGAAATGGCCTGTATTTCCTTCCTTTGGTCTTTTCTTTGTGAAGAGGCACACAGAGTTAGCAAAAAGATTTATTTTCTGAAACCTTTCAAATACCTCCCCCACATTTGTTCCTATACAAAAGAGAGCACTTTTTGACCAACCATCTTTGCTGTGTGAATTCCAGCTACGCTCCATTCCATTCAATCATTTGTCGGAAGAAGTGTTACCGTTTCCAAAATGCTTTCTGAAGTTTCTTCCTTAAAATCAACCTTTCCCTTTGCTCTCTCCACACATTTTCATCTGCTTTGGGAAATGCTGTTAGATCATCAGACAGAGACTGGGGGTTCATTGTATGTTTCATGCTTTATCTGGTGAATTAATAATCAGCACTCAGTAAAAGTTCGCAGTTAGTCGTATTTGGTAATGCAGTACAGTCTAGCAGTCAGTGATCATTATTTTCTGCTCCTTAAGTGCATGGACCTGGAGGACAAAGGCCATGTCCCTGGACTCCCACAGTCTCCAACACAAGACAGGATACATGGTAGGCACTCTGAATGTTTTATTGAGTGAATGAATGAAGGCATAATACATACTGTATCAATTCAGCTCAATGTACATTCGAAGAGTGCCTTGTATTCCAGACACTGTAGGAAATCCAAAGGTGGGCTATGGTGTCTAGATCATGGTTAATCACAGCCGATCACGGTCGATCACGGTCCAGTAGATGAAACCATGTGAGAAGCTCTGTGTTAGGGTTGGGCTGCCAGTACTGGAATGGATTTATGGTCTTGAGCCGGTTACTTAACTGTTTTTAATTTTTTTAAATTTATTTTTAGAGAGAGGGAAAGGGGAGCTGAAAGAGAGGAGAGAAACATCAATGTGTGTTTGCCTCTCATGCAGCCCCTACTGGGGACCTGGCCTACAACCGAGGCTTGTGACCTGACAAGGGGAATCAAACCAATGACCTCAGTGGATTAGTTCGCAGTCCTCGTTCAATCCACTGAGCCACAATGGCCAGAGGAGGTTACCTAACTTTTGTTTCCTCTCTTGTAAAATGGTGATAACAATAGCATCCTTGGGTTGTGGAAATCAGGTGTGTGAATACCATAAATCACCTAGAAAAGGTCCTGCCTGGCACACAGTGAGCGTTTAATAAACGTTGGCCACAGTTATGTACAATGTTCCACTAAAATGTAGAAGGGCCATTACACTCTGGGGCTCGCAGGTAAGTGTGCCCAGTAATGCCTCTCACTTGGCTTACAAGACTCGGCCCCTAGGCCAAATGTTGTATTTAGAAGACTTAGCAATCACCTGGTTTACATTCGCTCAGTTACTATAATGCTGTGTGGTGCACGTTGTCATAAAATATAGGCTTTTAAAAGTAAGTGGTTTTGCTGTATAGCTTACAGACTCCTCAAATCTATTTGGCATGTTAGTTTCTTTTTGTTCCTGTAACAAGTACAAATGTAAAAGAAAGAGGAGGTGGAAGAGGGTATAGGGGAATAAATGGTAATGGAAAAAACACAATAAAAATAAAAATGAAAAGTGTACATGGAAGAATCTTTATATTAAAAAGTAAACTTTACAAGCTGCTGTGGACTAATAACATTTGGCTTTCCAAAGTTCTTGACTTTTTTACTTTTCATGTCCATATACAACAGTGTCCAGAATCTGTTATAAAATCATTTGAAAAATTATTAAGTGATGATTCTCTTTAAAAGCCTAAAACTTTATTTTTGTTGTAAAATATTGTAAAGCATGGTCTCAAACTTTTAAGTACACTTTAAATTGTTAGTTATTGATGGTCTCATTTATAAACACTAAATTCTGCCCCGGCTGGTGTGTCTCAGTGGATTGAGTGCTACCCTGAGAATCAAGGGGTTGCTGGTTCAATTCCCAGTCAGGTCACATGCCTGGGTTGTGGGCCAGATAACCAGTGGGGGGGTGCATGGGAGGCAGCCACACATTAATGTTTCTCTCCCTCTCTTTTCTTCCAACTTCCCCTCTCTCTAAAAATAAATTCTTTCACCTCCTGCCATTTTATCTTTTATGCATTTAAATGTTTTTTCCTTATGTGTATTATAAAAATGTACTTTATGATCTTCTACCTAAATAAATACCTGTAAATGGGGGGAAGAAAGAGTTGGCCTCTGCAGTGTTTTAAGTCTGAATTGGTTGCCAGCATTTTAAAAGCTGGAACTTTAGTGTAAAACCATCCAGATTTCTGAGTTACTTTCTTAAAAATTAAGAAACTTTATAACACTGGCCTGGCATTGGTGTTAGACCACAGTGACCTGGAGCGAAGCAGAGGCTGTCTCCCTGAAGAGGGGCATCACTCTCAAGTTCACAACAGTCCCTCAGTCTGTCTGTCTCTCCCGTCTCCTCCCGCTCTGAGACCAGTGCTTAAACGTCGGGGCTCCTTACCTCCACCTGCTGGCCAGAGACGGTAGCGCAGCCTGAGACGGGCTCGCTCTCCAGGCCCCGGTACTGCCAGCTTCGCATCCCAGGCTCGGTGGCCACCTCCTGGGTGGCGGAAGAGGGATGGGGACATCTGCCCCGGAGCTGCAGAGTCCGAACAAAAGCTGGAGTTCTGGGCGGGTCTGCCCCAGGCAAGACACTGTGAATGATTAAACTTTTCTAAGTGATGCATATTAAAACCAAAATTCAATGAACTATGCCAGAAGAAAGACTGAATTATTTTTCCGTTCTCTCAATAGAAAATTAAATCATCAAACTGGTATCATATGGACACCGAGGAGTATGCAGCCCCCCCCAAAAAAAAAGGGAAAAATAAATAAATGTAGAGACGTGTAAGTCAAGTAATAATAATAATAATAGCTGTTATTATTACTGTCTTTTGAGTTTTTTCACACTGGTCAGCTTTTATAACATTTGCGATCATTGTGGTTTTATTTCTCATTCTAAATAAACATTCATTGTTTGTACCTAATTTTCTATGCTTTTTCTTACAGAATTCCCCCCCCCCCCCCCCCCCCCCCCATAATTCAATAAGCTTCAGGCCCCACAGACTCTGAATGTGCCCTTGCTTGGGCGGGTATACTCCAGGGCTGCTCTTGGAAGAGCACAGAACTGAAGCCAGAGGCCCGACTGCTGGGATGGCTCTGTCACTCACTGGTCCTGAGACTCTGAGCCAGCCTGCGCTTCCTTCCACACTCTCACCGGCACAGTGTGACTTTCCTAAACCTGCACACGTGCTTGAGCTCCCTGGTGGCCAAACTGAACGCTGACCAAGGTTTCCCAGGGGATCCTGGCCTGACTTAGTTAGGAGCGCTGTGTTCCATCTCCTTGGACACAGCGCCTGGGAGCCTCGAGTTGCTCTCCAGAAAAGTGGCCTGTGCAAAACAAATAGGAAGCCTGGCAACTGGGCCCCCAAGTGCTGACAGGATGACGAGAAAGGGGTGATAGGATTGCTTGGTGCAGTTTGGGAAGACTTCCTGGAGGAGGGACATTTTTGAATCTTAATAAAATCAAAAAGCAGCAAGAGCAAGAAGAGCAGGTACATGGAAAGGGGAGGGGGAAGTTGAGGCTGGGGAAGAAGCTTGTAGGGGCGACAGCCATGGCTCTCCTGACTCAAGGTGGGGAGCTTCTCCCACGTTCAGGGACTCCTTGGCCTACCCCGCAGTTGTGCCCCAGGGCCTGCGCATTCCCTGACACTCAGGAGATGCCCAACCCATGTTTGCTGAGTGACTGAGAGAGTGGGCAGCTTCCACAGCGCCATGAGGAGGCTCCACCCTTTAGGATTGTTTTCCCTCCTGACAGCCCTCACTGAAAAATCTCTTTCGACAGAATTTCAGTGCCTCCGTTGATCTAGTGTGTGATCAGTATGTGTGATTTTCTGTCTTTGTTTTAAATATTCAGTGGTGGTTCTCAGTTCCTAAAGATATTTTTTACTGTGCTAAGTGGTATAAAGCCATTTACCAAACGAGAATCAGGCATTATCTTCGTCTCAGAAACATCCTCTGTGTCTGTTTAAATTAACATCTAATTATTTCCCCAAAGCCGGAGAAAGAATTTCAGCACAGTGGGGACTACGTGACTTCTGTGCACCAACAGCTGAGCCGATTTTCGCCATGTACCAGTTCCTCTCATCTGTAAATACAACTTGAGGGATGGGTGATAATAAACGGCTGGTGTAAGCAGGTTGGATGGAAATAGGGTAGTGGATGTATATATAAGAAAATAAAATAGATACTGCTTGGGGCGCTAGATTCTGATCAACATTTTTTTGCCTTGAAGATATTATCACTGAAAAAAAATTCCTGGGGGGTTGGGGGGTGCTCCAGATGACCAGGACCTACCGCAGAGACAAACGAGACACCCAGCGCAGTAGAACGATGCGCCGTCCTTTTGTCGTACTTGTTAAACGCAGAACCCGATTGCTTTCGTGTTCGCATCTGTGCGCATGTGCAGTGGCAACGCTGGCCGGCCAGTGTACAGACTTGAGCGGAACATCTTCATCTCCCTTTTAAAGTGATGTGAAGAGAGATCTTTCTCTGTGAAATGAAGAAACCTCCATCAGTGTCAGCTGTTTTATTATTACTACTTTTATAGTTTTTAGGGAAGACTTCCAGAATCCTGAGTCAGCAAGGAGGTAAGAAAAATCTTGTCGCTAAACTTCCAAAAGGTAGTGACAGAGCCCAGCTCCTCCCCCACACCTCAGCTGCTATACATGGAGCCTATACGTGTTTGCTGTACTGATAGGAAATTTTGACAGCGTGGATGAATATGAACAAAACATGCTCGGCAGAACTCTGCCGCCCGGAGAGCCACTGTGCACCCAGGTTCTGCAGAGGGTCTTAGCCTTGTTTCCTAGGGGCGCCCTCCTGGCCCAGCCCAGCAGAGACCGCTCTTTGAGAGACAAAGTCACCTCCCCAGGCCCCTTGGCTTTGCCTGGGGTGGCCAGGTGAGGACGAGATTTGAATTCAGTCTCTTCGTTGAGGGCTGCTCAGAGTCCCTCAGAAGGGCACCGAGGCATAGACACGGGGTTGTTTATTACAACAGTGCTTAGAAGGAAAGAAACAGGAGCAACCAAAGTGCCCAGCGATAAGAAACAACATACCTAGTGGTGCATCCAGTCGGCCCTCCAGCAGCTGTTTAATAAAGATACCCCGCCCTGGCTGGTGTGGCTTAGTGGGTTGAGCACTGGCCTGCGAACCAAAGGGTTGTGGGTTCAATTCCCAGTCAGGGCACATGCCTGGGTTGCTGGCCCAGTCCCCAGTAGGGGGTGCATGAGAGGCAACCACACACTGATGTTTTTCTCCCTCCCCCCCCATCTAAAAATAAATAAATATTTTACAAAAATAAAAAAATAATAATAAAGATGCTCCAATGTGGGGAGATCACAGAAATATGTTATTGCAGTAGAAAATCAAGGTGCAGAACCACGTTTGCAGTATGAGCCCTTCGGGTTAAAATATTTGCATAGCTAAAGAAATCAGTATACATGAGATAAATGATAGAGGCCTTAACCTCCATTTAAACAAAATTTTATGTACTTATTTTTAGAGAGAGGGGAAGGGAGGGAGAAAGAGAGGGAGAGAAACATCAGTGTGTGGTTGCCTGTCAAATGCCCCCTACTGGGGACCTGGCCTGCAACCCAGGCATGTGCCTTGACTGGGAATTGAACCGGCAACCCTTTGGTTTACAGGCCAGTACCCAATCCACTGAGTCACACCAACCAGGGCTTACCCTTTATTTTCTACCTTTCTGTACTGTTTTGAGTTCTCTAATTTTATATGGGCATTATTTTTAAAATATCATTGAGAATTATCTGGAAAGGAAGATTATAGCTAGTTTTTAAACTTTCTATTGTATATTCTCTCATTAATATGAATCTTCTTATACTAAAAATAATCTACTATTCTTGTATTTAAATAATGAATCTTTTTCCTGAAGCCTATTGCAGGAATTTTGGGGGTGGCAGCTATTGCTGCTGTAACTGCTACCCCTCCTAGTGTCTGGGACAGAGAGATACTAAATAAACGCTTGTTCAGTGACTAAGTTTGGGGAACAGGTTGTAAGCCTTTCTTTCTGACTTTCATTTCCAGAATTAAAGTCACTGCACCAACAGAGCTCGGCCCCACAATCCCTGAAGAACAGGTTAAGTGACAAAGTTATTGCAAATGTGACCTTTGCAGCCTCCCTCTTCTCCCCGAAAAGCTTGACCGTTTTTACACACGCATTTATGACATGTTTCGTTTGTCACTTACTGTCTGTGCAGGACAGAGCAAGGGGCTGGTGTTAACTCCCCCCCACTGTTTTCGGAGTCCCGTGACTCATTCCACAAGGCTTGCTGGTTAGTGACAGAGCCGGGGGTGTCCGGGCGCGACTTCCAGAACAGCAGAGAGGCCGTGGGGTGCTCTGTGCATGGAACCACCTGGGCGCCAGCTGCTGCAGATGCGGACGGCGAATGGGACGGCTGCTGCTGGGGCGACGTTTGAAATTGTGAACAATGTAGTGTGTGTGTTAAAGCAGATCGTTGCAGACGGACATCCAGCGGGACACGGGAAAGTGGGTGAGCTGACCGGGGCATGATGGGACATCCTGTGCCCCTGGCCCCACCCCCGGAACACCAGGCCCTGGGCTCCTGGGCCGAGGAAAGCTGAAATGCCTGGAGGGGAGACACGGGCCCAGAAGAACACAGAGTCCAGGGGCAGCCAGGCCAGGCCTCAGAGGCCGGAGCTCTGCGGGGCAGTCACACTGCTTATCTGCCCGCACACAGCAGGAAGTCCTGACGCCCGGAAGTGTAGTCTGCGGATGCCAGAGCAGGGACGAGGGTGTTGGCTTCCCAGGTGTCAGACAGCAGGATTCTGGCTGAGGCAGTTAGAGAGGTGATAATCAAATAATACCCTCCCAATAAAGCACCTAGAAAGAAGTACCAGGAGTACACCAGCCATGCCTGCCCCCCGTGGCGCACAGGGCTGTGTGCCAGGTGACGGCTACCTACTTTTTAAAAAGCCAGCCCTGGCTGGTGGCTCAGTGGATTGGGCACTGGCCTGTGAACCGAAAGATCACCAGTTTGGCCCCTTGCCGGGGCGCATGCCTGGGTTGCAGGCCAGGTCTTCAGTTGGGTGCATACAAGAGGCAACCCACTGATGTTTCTCTCTCACATCGATGCTTTTATCCCTCCCTTCCTCTTTCTCTGAAAATGAATAAATAAAATCTTTTTAAAAGAATAAAAACCTAACAATTTTTGAGCTGCTCGGGAAGCCCAGCTATAGCTGCTCTTGAGTTGGGGGAGGGGACCAGGGTGAACACCTCTGAGAACATGTGCACAGTCTCAAGCCAGGTGGTGGGACCAGTGAATCACCTGCTGGGCGTGTAGCCACCTCTACCTGTCGCCTCTGTCCCTACACAGCACTCAATCTTTCTTTGTTTTCCTCAGCCCTCTGAGGCAGATGGCCTGGGTGCCACTCTGAGTCAGGAGGCCCCTGCACAGTGGGTGGGAACTTGTCAGACCCCTGAGGTCCTCTCCTCTCTGAAGTGGACTCTGTGTTAAAGAAACGGTGGCACTTGTTAAAGATGACACGGCGGATTTTACTCAGGACCATGGTGATAAACACAGGGACCGCTGCCACAGAATTCTGCAGGGGAGGGAGAGAGATTGGTCCCAAGCCCAAGTGCAGCCGGGGCAAGTGACATTTCACAGCCAAGCAGCAGGGTGGGGGACAGTGGGTGGGAGATTACTGAGAGTGATCAGTAGAGTTACATTAAAACTACTGAAACTCCATTGGGATGGGGGACCCTGGCTAAAGTGATCTAATAGGATTCTTGCTGAGGACAGGCCAGAGTGATCAGACGTGGTCGGGGTGGGGCGGGTGGAGGATGAGGAATCAGTTGTGGAGGGCAAGGGGTTCTTATTGAAACTGGATTTCACCAGCCTTGGCTGGTGTAGCTCAGTGGATTGAGCGCCGGCCTGCGAACCAAATGACCGCAGTTCCATTCCCAGTCAGGGCACATGCCTGGGTTGCAGGCCAGTTCCCAGCAGGGGACACACGAGAGGCAACTGTACATTGATATTTCTCTCCCTCTCTCCTTCCCTTCCCCTCTAAAGATAAATACATTTTAAAAATCTTTTAAAAACTGGCTTTCACCAGGAAGTGCACAGTGGGTCCAGGAGAAGGTTCCAGAGCCCGACTGCAGTTCAGATGAGCAGAGAATCCACGCCACCCTTGGGCACTAGTTTCCTCCTGCAGGCCCAGGGTCCCGGTTAGGCCCAGAGCCCTGACATGGGATGCGGTGGGAATCTGAAACCTGCATCCCTCCAAGTTGTCCCGGGCTGTACCAGTGTTGATTTGGAGTCTCCCAGGCAGAGAAGAGCCAGATGGGAGCTCGAGGCCCTCTCAGCTCTGCTGATTGAGACTTTGGGGCGCCTTCCCGCCCTCCCTCTCCGCTGGCCGCTGGCTGCTCTCCGTGGTTTTCACCAAAGAGGGTCAGGAGAAATGAAGACATCAAAAGCTCCGGGTAGCCTCCTGGGATAATTAACTGGCAACTCTGATTTTTAAAAAGGAGTGTGTGGAGGAGGCGCCTGGAAAAAAGGTTTTATATGGATTCCGGTTCTGCCCTATCCTGTCTTCTAACGTGCAATGGAGCAGTGGCGGAAAATATATTCGTAACAGTTCTGCACACAGAAGGTGCCTCGAAAGACTTGGATTTGCAGGTTACGTTTTCAAGCGCCCTGGCTTCTCCCCAAAACACTCTTTACCTGGTGGGAAAGTGTGTCCTGATTAGCAACCGAATCAGTGAATTCTAGAAATCCTCAAACTATATCAGCACATTGGAATCCCCTGGGGTGTTTTAAAAACTTCTGATGCCTGGGTCCCCCACTCGGATGCTCAGATTTTATTTCCTCTGAGATGCAGCTTGGAGGCAGTATTTTAAGAATCTCCCAAGGCCATTATGATATGCAGCCACGTTTGGGGACCTCCTGCTCTCAGCTTCCTCCTCCACACACCAGGAAACTGAGGCTGAGTCTGCACCCCTTGGGCCCAGTTTCTTCAGCACATTAGCCCAGGCCGCCTCCTCAGGGAAATTGCAGATCTTTGTCCCCAACAGGGCCCTCGCGCCCTAGGTGTGGCTCATTGGCATGCTAATTCTCCACCGGCCTCACCTTTGGGCAGCTTCACAAGTACCTGTCAGCTGACCACTTCCTCCAGCCGCTTCTCCAAGGCTTCAGAAACTTAATGCGGCCCCCAGACCCTTTCATCCCCTCAGTGCCTTTCATCTGAACCTTTTAAAGGGCCGTGAAAAGTTTCGGCTATCAAAGAGCCCGGGAAGAAGGTGGGAGGCAAGTACCACCTTCCCCATTTCACTGCTGGCAAAGCTGAGGCTTCTGGGAGCAGCTGTGGTGGTGGGGGCAGCGGAGCCCTCCTGATGCTCTTGAGATAAATCAGTTGACAGAAGCCCGCAGAGCCTGCAAGAAACCCCACTGAGAGTCTTCTAGAAAGAGATGCTGACCCAGACAGTTGCTCTTGCTTGGACACCAGGCCTGTCATCTCCTGTGTCTCAGCACCTTACAAGGATGCTGTGCTCCTCACCTTTGCACCCTCGGGAGTTCACACCTGGCCGCCACCGTTGGAGCTGGTCCCTGAGTTCAGCACACACCTGGGACCCTGCCCACTGGTCGCTCACAGGCCAAATGGGATCCGAGATGAATACGCCTGAAAACATACTGGGTTTGCAAAGCCGTGGGTGAGATGTGACTTGCAGCATGGGTGCCGGCCAGGAGCCCGGCCCGGTGGCGGGAGCGGGTGTGGACAGAGCCCAGGGATCCTCACTCAAGTTGCAGCGCCGCCAGGAACGTCCTGAGGATCACGGAGATGCTCTGTGGGCAGTGTGCTGTGGTGCATTCTTGACTGCATATGTGCCGGCCTGGCGTGGGCCAGCCACCTTGAAAAGCCCTCTCGTAAACACGCTCCTTGGCTCCTCAAAGGCATGTTCTGCAGGTGAGAAAAGCAAAGCTCAGAGACAGCTGGCAAGGGACGAAGGAGAAGACAAACTCAGGAGCTTGCACCCTGCCCAGGTTGGGGACCTGACCCAGAGAGGGTGGGAACCGCGTGAGTTTACCCAGTGCACGGGCAATGGAGGCAGCCTGAGCCTCGGGCACTTGTTCCTAAGGAACCGTTCACTGAGCACCTGTGTTACGTACCAGACACCAGGCTGGTGCCGAGCTGGTGCTGGGGCTCAGCTTCTGCCAGTCTCCCAGGGATGGAGACAGTGACACGGGATCCAGGTGGAAAGGCAGGATGTGTACGCAGGACTGCTGGGAGTTCCCTGCCCCCGCCCCCAAGAAGACCCTGGCCTAGTGTTGGGGTCAGGGCTCCATCTGGGTGTCCACACTCACACTGCTATGTGGGACGGAACCCCAGGCCACCTAACTCAGGTCAGAAATGCCTGCAACTGTGTGGAAAGGAGGGAGAGTCCCTCAGATGGGGCTGTACGTGCTGCCAGTCTGGCTCCAGGCTGTGGACCGGCACGGTCCACTCAGGCACGGCTCTGGATGATGCCTGAATAGGTGCCTGCTGCAGGAAAAGCCGTGGCGCTAAACCAGGGAGAGGCTGTTCAGAGGCCGGGAAGGATGCTCCCTGAACAGTCCCGGCTAGCGCCTCTCCATCCTGCGTGGGCAGCCTGGGTCCACCCCTCCAGCCGGCAGACTCAAGGTGCCCCCTGGAGCCCCAAGTACAAGATGCCCCTGGTCCTCCAGCCACGCTCTCCACTCAACCTCACTCCTCTCGGAGGCGCCAGCAGGCTCAGGTTTCTGATCTTCTCTGGACCTCAAGGCTTTCAGAACCTCTCTGGGCCCAGACAAAGGCTGTCGTCCCCAAGGCCCCAGCCCTTCTTGGAGTGAAATAAATGACTTTCTTCTCCTCTCACCACGCCACCCTCGATGCTTTCTGAGCAGGTCTGACTCCAGTAAAGTGGGATCTTCCCAGGACTGGCGCGTCCTGGGCACACCCTGAGTCCTTCCAAACCTAGAACGCATGGCAGATTTCAAGATTTCTTAACAGAATGGCTGCCATACAATAAATAGATACTTTAAAAGCCCGAAAAGGAAAGTGTGAAAGCCCCTCTTCCCACTCAACCACCCCCTCCCCCCACGGGGGGGCATACACACAGATTTTGGGTCACCAGCTGTGCGATTTCTTCCAATGAACCATCAGACACATACTGAGAGCCTGTTACAATACTGTAGTGTGCCATGCTCTTGGTGGGGGGAACGGTTTGGACAAACTATTACATATTCATGCCCACAGAGGAATTATATTCAGGTTATGGAAACAACATGAGTTTCACAGACATGAAATTTATATTTATTATACATATAAAAAGCACATGCCCACACGTGATCATGTGTGCAAACCCACACACAGGTACATGTACACACATAGAAAAGGTTTCACATGAAAAGGTTGATAGCAGCCGCCCTCAGATTTATTTGTGGGTCTTTTCCTTTTGTCTGTGGTTTACGTCTGATTTCTACAGAAACTAGGACTTCCATGAAATGCCCTGGAAACCACAGAATTGTGAGGGGCAGCTGAGGGCGGGTGGGCCGAGAGAGAGAGAGAGAGAGAGAGAGAGAGAGAGAGAGAGCTGTGGTTTGCAGGGGACAGCGGCCCTGAACAGGGTCTGGCAAGGTGGCAGGATGTAGACAGAGTATCAGGAGAAGGGACCAAGTAGCTTTGAGCGGGAGTGGGTAGTGGGTGGTCATGGACCAGTCGGGTTGGAGAGGGGAGGGGTTGCCTAAACGGGGAGTGCAAGTCCCCGCTGGCCAAAGGGCTCTGATTCCAGTGACCTCAAGCCTCCTGGGTCCACTTCCTCCTCCAGTCACCACTCACCCTTAGAGCCACCCGCCGGGACGAAAGGCTCCTTGAAACCAACCTGCAAAGGCCTGCAGCCATTGGTGCCTCACAGGCACCCCCTGCCCCACCCCTCCCGGACCTCCAGGCCGAGATGAGCCCGGTAAGGCCAGTCCTGCAGCAGGCACCATGGAGAACTCGCAACAGCAGGGGCTCAGGCTGCTGGGAACCAAAAGAGGTCAGTCCTCCCTACTCCAGAAAGTTGCTGGGGTGGGCTCCCCAGGTCTGTACCACTGGAAGAGCACCCCTGTGTCCCCCCACCCGCTCTTGCCCAGGGCCCAGAGGTGGGCTCCTTCCGCCACTTGCACCTCAAAGCACCCCCCAACGCCCCCACCCCCGCCACAGGGCTGCCCCAGAGGATGTGCAACTTGCAGTCTCTGCTCCCAGACTTACAGAAGCACTCAACTGACCCTCTGACTGTGGGGGTCTGCCACCTTGGCTGACATGACTTCTAGCCCCTTTATCTCGGGGCAGGGAGAGACTTAAGAGAAAAGACAGTTCTTGGAGATACCCCAGGACTCATCCCAGAGCCCCCAGAAACTTGCACCGGACAGCGGGGAAGAGGACAGGGACCTCTCAGGTGAGGGGTGGTTTGCTGGATTCTGTTCTGGTCCTTCATTTTGGTAAGAATGGTTCCTAGGTGCTGTGTATTTCTACAAGGCAATAAGGACCGCACAACGGGCATCGTCTGACTCCATTGCGCCTTCTGCATTTATCAGCAGAACACCTCTATCAGGGGGAAGTTTTCTTTATCAAACTGTTTACTTCGAGTTACAGTCATACAGAAAAGGCAAGATAAATGCTTGCTTCCTTCTTTGTTCGCCAGAATAAAGGGGTTGTTCCCTAGAACCTTCCAGAGGTGGTGGGTTTTGTTTTTCTTTCTTATTTTAAAAAGAAATATTTAGTTTTTAGAAAGGGAAAGTGGGGAGGAAGAGGGAGAGAGAAACATCAATGTGTGGTTGCCTCTCATACGCCCTCTACAGGGGACCTGGCCTGCAACCCAGTCACATGCCCTGACAGAGAATTGAACCAGAGACCCTTTGGTTCACAGTCCGGCACTCAATCCACTGAGCTATGCCAGCCAGGGCTGCTTTTCAATGATGACTGTGACCTGGTGGGTTTTAACGTGTCTGATGTGTTTCAGTCTATTGCTTTCAGGATTCTTACTGGTCCTCAGACTGCCCTGTTTGAGAGCGCCGCCTCCGTCACATCTAATAGTTCTGTCGTTTTCAGACATGACCAAGTATTCCAGGCTTCCCAGGTGCTCGGGTGGGATGAGGTGTCCCAGCCCAGACATGGTGCCTGGTGCAGAGCTGGCACTCTGTCTGTCCGGATGGCTGCTGGAAGTTCAGATCACTATGGAAGCTAAGTGCCCAGTTGCCTGAGAGACGGATGATTTATTTTAACCTCCAGGTTGGTGTGCGCCAAAATGGATCAGAATCTACTGGAGAGCGCTCTGTTATATCCTGTGGCCTCCAAGAGTCTGCGTTACCTCGGGCCAGTTCAGGGTGGTGTTAGACGTGCCCAGATGCCTCTCAGTCGGGTGGGCTTCGAATCTCCAGCACAAGGCCATCTCGAAAATGCCCACCCAGTCCATGCTGGTGGGAACACAGAGGCCAGAACTGACCTTAGGTTATTCTGGGTATCAGCTGACACTCTCATAAATTATTTGGGGGCAGAAAAAAGAGGTATTGGCAGATGCTGTGTTCTCCTGACGCCTCTCTCTTTGCTTTTCCTTGTCCAGTGAGGCCTCGTGGAAGATATGTGAGAGACACTCATTCAATATAACATCACACCCCCCCACCCCCGAGAAAGTCAGAGAGCTCCTGAACAAAGTTAGCTTCCCCATGTGGTTAGAAGAGAACAAAGCGATCAAATGACGTGGGGTTTACGTCAAATGACCACGTTAAAGGAACTTTCTGTAGTGTCACAAGCCCGTCACCAGCCAACGCGAAAGGTCTCTTTTGAACACGAACTACTTGTGAATGCTGCAGTGATATTGTATGGGGCACACGGATCTGGTTACGACTGTCTGGCTTGAAAACAGATGCAGAGTTCTGTTTAAACCATACATACAAGTGAGAGTCTAGCATTCAAACCCAGTGTGTGATTTTATGTCAGCTAAATACCTCTTTGTATCTATGTATAAAAAACTATCAGAAAAGAGTGATTTGCCAGATGATGGTATAAAGGCTCACAGGGGTGGCGGGAGTCCTTCCCTACTTGGAAGCTTTGGGTAGAAAAAACTGGAAGAAAAGGAGTCACAAGAAACGCAGCCTGTTGGGTTCAAGATCGATTTTGCGTTTGTTATTTGAATGTATATGGGGTCTCACTAACAAACAAAAGCTTCTTAACACGCGTCACTTTCCGGGCACATCAATGCCTTTTGCGGGGTGGGGGGGTGGGGGGGGTAAGGGAGGGTGTTGTCTCCCAATCTCCTGCAACCACAAGTTCTGAAATAAACTCCGGGGTCTGCAGGAGAGGCCTGGGCAGGAGAGGAGATGAAATCAAAGCGAGGCCGGGATCAAAGGGGCAAACAGCCCGGGGATCTCAGGGTGAAAGAAGCAGAGCCACCGACTCCCCTGGGCTGGCCCTGCTTCTCTAACAAACAGCCAGGGCCCCGCGCCAGGACTCAAGGCAGCGCGGGACTAACTCAAACAACAAAGAGATCTGGGGAAGAGAGTACTTAGCACTTAGAGAGGAGAGGCAGGCCCCCCCCCCCCCCCCCCCCCCCCCGAGAGATTTGGGGGAGCGAGAACCGTGGTGGGAAACGTCGGGGGAAATGCTGAGGAGACAGAAGGGGACAGAGAAGACAGTCAGTCGCCCCGAAGGGCTCCACCCTCCCCAGCCTGGGGTGCTCCAGACAATGTGCTTTTTTCTTTTTAAAGCTTACTGCTTTTCTACTGCATCTTTATTTATAGTTACTGGCCTTACCCCACTTTCCAGAAAGAATCGTTGAGCCTGTCCTCCATGTTACCCTGCCCCCCCCCTTGTGATATTTCAAGTGACAGACCAAATATAACTAATGGCCAAAGCAAATCAAGCCAGTGAGCCCAGGTGTTGGCAAGAGGACTCCTGCCCCCGACCTCAGCGACAGGGTCTTCAGCTAGTCCCAAACTTCACTTGGCTGTTCGGAAACTGGTACACCAGCTTACTTTGATAGAAAAAAAAAACCCAAAGCCCAAAACTACTTATAGAAATATAGTCACAGATTATCTATTTGGGCAAAGTATATTGCAATAATTGCTTTTTAAGAGATTGCCCAAAATTGGGCTCTTTCCATTTTCCAATTTGGGATACGGGTATAGCAGGATTAACAAATTATTCTTTTGTACACTTTGTACATTTGCAGCAGGGTAACTGAGCGAGGGATCTAGAAATTGCATTTAGTGCAAACCATTTACAATTTTATAGGTGTCCGTCAGGCCGAGGAGAAGTGGAAAGGTAACTTGGATTCTGAGTGAGTGTACACGTCAGGGCTTCTGTAGAGACCAGCAACGGCCCCCATCTTGCTAACCCTCATCAGTGAAAACCCCAAGAGCACTGGAAAGAATATTCCTGGGGTGAAGTAATCTCTCTTTCCAGAGCTATGACATTGCACCCTCTGCTTCCGTTTTTTTAAAAAAATCCAGATCTCACCAATTTTCCCACTAATGTCCTTCTTTGTTTCCGAAGCATCCAACCCAGAAAACCACATGGCCTTCAGTCATCAAAACACCAGGTTTTCAAAATAGACTTATAACGCTAATACATGCACATGATTTAATAAAATAATAAAGCGGCAGCAAAGGGAATAAAGTAAAGAGTTCCTCTCCAGCCCTTCATTCCCAATTCCAACTCTGGGTTTCCACTATAGGTTATTTTTGGGTACATGCGAGCATACACAATTAAAACTTCATTTTAAGCAAAAGGAGGAGAGAAGAGGAAAGACCAAAACCTTATTTCAGTATAGATTATACTACCACACGAGCTCTCAGGAAAAGTCATAAAAACTTAATGCTTGTTTAGTGCATTTGGATAATTATTGAGCCACAAACTGAATGCTGGAATTTCTTACCACCAGTTTAAAAGACAGAGAAAGGCTGTGCTTGTCCAGTTTCCACGTGTGGTCAGCCGCTCCATTCGTCTCTGCAGGTCCATTTCCCTGGCCTCCTGCAAGGCAGACCCGCTGGATCGGGGCCTCATCAGTGAGCCCAAGCAGCGGAGGAGTGAGGCTTGGCCAGAGGCCTCGGGAATCTCCACACAGGCCCTTGGCAGAGCTTCTGGGTGGCTGGACTGTCTCTGCTGTCAAATCTCAGCCAGCAGCCGGCAAACGCTGGTTTCCTCCTGGGGTTGGCTTCCTGGTCCTCCACACGACAGCAGTGGAACTCAGGTCTGCGGAGTTCTGGCCCCATCACCGCTGCCTGCTCCTGGGAACCTGAGGAGCCCCATGTTCTCCTTAGGAGACAACACCGCCCACGCCCGCCCCTGGGGTGGGGAGGACAAGGGGCTTTGCCTTCTTCCTGAGGTGGCAGGGGACTCAGCAGTGAGCTTGGAGCCGTGTCTGGAGGCCAGCCTGGCACAGTGGCTTTGGAGTCAGTGGGCCCGTCTAGATGGTGAACTCTTTCCTGATCTGTAAAGATGGGACAGAAATACCTAATTTGTAGAAACATACTTAAAGCATAGTCTAACTCAGGGATGCTTCAGAAATGGCTTTTGAGGTAATGAAAGAATGAAAGTGCACAGAAAAATAGAGGGTCTTTTCCCCCTGACCCCATATCCTTCTGCCTGAAAAATCCCCAAAGAGCAGGCAAAAGAACAAGGGAGGGAAGAGAGAGGGAGGGAGGAAGAGAAGAGGGATGGAAGCTTGGGGCAGATGGAGGGGCAGGCAGGGAGTGTTACCAGGCTGCCTCTTAGAGCCTCAGGGGCTGTGCAGGGGTCTGGGACAGGCCTGGACAGCCCCTGACACCCCCGCCCCCCCCCCAGCAGCACCCAGAATCCCTCCTGCTTTGACGACTGGAACGCCCACCCCAGGTGAAAGCACCCAAGCTCTTCCTGCGGTTGTCCTGCGGCATTCTGGGACGGAGGGCGCCAGGACAGGGGCCCTGAAAGGTCCCGGTGAAATCAGGGCTCAGGTTCTGGGAGCAAGAAGGCCTGGTCTTCTGAGTCCCTCTCCTGAGGCCTCGTCCCGGTCTGTGTGCTTCTCCTTCTAGCAAGTGAATCCTGGGAGGGCTCTTTCCACAAGGTCGGTGCAGGGGCAGCATAGAGCCTGGTGCACAGTGGTGGATGTGCCGGGCAGTCACCCCACAGACTTCTCTCACCCCACAGTGAGAGAAGTGGGCTCCTGCTCCCTAAGATGAAACAGGGGGAGGGGGACCCTTAAACAAGGGCAAAAGGGTGGAGGCTAAAGGGAGTGGAAACTTCTGGAGCCCCTTCCCATCTCCTCCCTTCCAGCGGACATGTCCTGAGCATCCAGGACGTCTCCAGAAAGGCCAAATCACACGTCTGGGAAATGTCACCCCACTTTTAGCCCTGCGTGCCTGAAACTCCTATGCCCGCACTGACGTTCCAGGCAAAGGGGTTGCCCCCAAAAGGGTTGCCCCCGTTCCCCCCCACCTAGGTTTTCCGGGGTGAGTGTACTGCCTCCCTTTGAGGTCCCTTTATCTGCATCCCCTCCTTCCGAGTCAGGATGTGTTAGGGAGGCTTGAGGAGGTCAGGGGCGGGCTGTTTGACCAACCTGGCCCAGGGTCTAGCACGTAGCAGGGGGGGTAAATAAATACCTTTGAAGAGGACAGGCGGGACAGCGGGCAAGGCTCACCACCAAGCCCTGAGACAGATAGGCTGGCCGAAGGCCCCCGCGCCAAGTGGGTGACTTGACCCCTGGGGGAGGGGGTCGCTCTGCCCCACTGGCCTAGGCGGTCAGACTCCCCGGCTGCCCCCCACCCCCCACCCCAGAGCACAAGCGTTCTGGGGATGTTGATTGCGGCCGAGGGGCTGGCAGGCGGATGGACGGGGGAGGGTCCCGGAGGGGGCTCCGGGCCCAAGTTCGCGCCTCCCTCCCCGCATCCCACGGGCAGCGGAAGCGATTATTCCCACCGGTGTCTGGCGGGGCCAGGGGCGGGCTCACACCCCGAGAGCCACGGGCCTCCCTGCGTCCACCCCTTTGATCGCCCGCCACCCTGGTCCCCTCCCTGGGCCCTGGGGTCCGTATAACCGTAGTCTGTGCCCTGCTCCGTGGCACATGAAGGTCGGGCAGCGATGGCCGCGGCAGGGTCCCGCCAGTTCCAGCTCGGGGACAGCGCCGCCTTCCCGGCGTACCGGCCAGTTCACGCCGGCGGGACGCTCCTGCCGCCCCCGAGCCCCGCCACCGCCCTGCTGCACCCCGCGAACCCCTCGGGCCCCAGCCCGGATCGCGGCGCCCCGGCCGCCTTTGCCGGCTTCCTGGGGAGGGGCCCCGGCCCCGCCACACTGCCCCCCACCGGCCTGGACCCACCTGCGCCCCCCAAAGGCGCGGCCGCCCCGTCGGCCTCTCAGCGCCGCAAGCGCACGTCGTTCAGCCCTGAGCAGCTGCAGCTGCTGGAGCTGGTTTTCCGCCGGACCATGTACCCCGACATCCACCTGCGCGAGCGCCTGGCCGCGCTCACGCTGCTCCCCGAGTCCAGGATCCAGGTGAGCGGCGCGCCCTGGGTGGAGTCCCTGGGGTCGGTGCCCGCGCGGGTACCTGAGCCGCGGTGACCCCGACTCCGAAGCAGGGGTGAGGTCAGTCCCCACCGCACAGGGAGTTCGCGAAGCTTTGGCGAAGTGTGACTTGGTGGGGGGGGGGGCCCTGGAGGACCTCTGTTATTGTTAGGTATGATCAGGGCCCCTCCCAGGGGGCTGGCTGGCCGGCCCCTGGAGATGGTCAGGAAATAGATCCTCAGCCGGAAGGTGATAGGAAGTATTTTCCCACTTCTTCCTGGAAAAGGGGGCAGATGGGGCCCGGCTGGGCGTTCCCTCCGGCAGGGGAATGGCAGCGGAGCGAGGGCAGGTCGGGCGCACCAAGTCACCCCTGGGCCGCAGGCCGCAGTCTTGGCAGGTGTTGGGTCTTGGAGTCTGGTTCAAAGGATGTAGCATCTTGGGATAGAGCTGGAAGTAGACGGGTTTGTCAGAATCTGCAAAAATCGAGTGCCAGGTGCGGTTGTGGCTTAATCGAGACCAGAATCCTGGAGTCTGGTGGTCATGAGAAGCGGGCCTGCCGCAGCCCCTTCACCTGAGTCCAAGAGCAGTTTAGAGCAGGGGCGCTCACTTTAACATGGGGAGAAGGTGCACTTGTGGCTCCGCACCCCGGTGGGATATCTGTCAATAGCTGGCACAGAGGCTTCTTCCAAAGCGGGACACCTTCAGGATTTGCTGGGAAACAGTGAGCAGAAAGCGAAGTCCATTGAGCAGAATACCTCCTCCATTAATTTGACAGGGGAGTACTTGTAACTTTAAAACACTGATTTTCTGCATTGTTTTAAGATCTATCGTCTTTAAGCGTAATAGTATCGTTTCCCCCCAGTGGAAGTGCTTTTATTTCTGCGCCCCAATTTCTGGAGCCAGGAGCTGGGGCATATCAACCTGCTGCTTCTGATCCCAAGTCCGACCAAACGCTGCTCTTCTGTCCCCTCCGGCAGGTGTGGTTCCAGAACAGGCGCGCCAAGTCCCGGCGCCAGAGCGGGAAACCTTTCCAGCCTGCAGCCCGGCCGGAGCGCCTCCTCCCCCACGCTGCCCACGGAACTGACGCGCGGCGTTTGCGGCCCCAGCTGCCTCCTGAGGTGGATGTGAACTGCCCACCGGATTCCAACAGGGTCGGAGGGGGTGGCTCAGACCTTAGCTCCCAAGGTCAGCACTGTGAAACCTATTCGCTCCCGGAGGACACTGGTTCGAAGCTGGACTCCTGGGAGGAACACATCTTCTCTGCCTTTGCTCACTCCTGAGGACTCTGCAACTCAGGATAAGCTCAGAGGAGCCACGAGGGACTGGCAACCAGGGAGACGCGTCAGAAGGCTGTCCTTTCTGGCTTCCGTGTTAAGGACACCCCATGGGAACCTTGGTGATGGTTTTGGCGGTCATCTGTCACCTGGGGCGGTTCCTCCCCTTGGCCTCCAGCCTTGGCCCAGGCTCATTTGCTTCTTCCCCTGTAGCACTGCCCCCCCCCCACCCCCGCCGGAAGTTCTGGCTTCGTTTTCACCGGCACATCTCCACACCTGTACGCTCATTCTGTCTCTATCCCTGTTTCTTCTGGCCAGTGCTGTTCTCATTTTTGAACTGTTTTTTTTAAAAAAAAAAAAACAACTCATTATCTTCTTAACAAGAATGCCTGAGCCTGACTCAGTTTCCCCTTGGGCTCAAGAGCTGCCCTCTTCTCACGTCTCCTGAAACGTTAATAACCTTGAACTGTAATCCAGGGGTGTCCAACCTTTGGGCATCTCTGCTCCACACTGGAAGAATTGTCTTGGGCCGCACATTAAATGCGTTGTGACAAGTAATCACACACACACAAATCTCATCATGTTTTAGATAAATTAATGGTTTTGCGTTGGGTTGCATTCACAGCCACCTTGGGCTGCGTGTGGCCCACCGGCCACAGGTTGGACAGCCCTGCAGTTGAATCCACCCCCATCAACTGCCAGCCTAGGGCCGGGATTTTACTACTTTCCAGTTTGGTCTGTCATCTCTGCACGCAGCTGTAGCTTCAGTGATTCTGTGTCCAGATTATCTCAAGAGCTCCCTCCATCTAGGTTATCAGCTTCCAAAAAATTACTCTCTTAGGTCAGATAGGAAAATTGCAACATAGGAGTAAATTTTTGTACTGCTGAATTAAAATACAAGTTTTGGGTGTGGTTTTTTAAATTGTTAAGACAAGTTTGAAATACTTTAGACTTTAACAAATGATTGATTTTAAAAACTCGACATAGTTTTTTAGAAAGTAAAGCTAAAGGTTAGAAAAAAAGCAAAGCCATGCAAAAGGGATAATAAAGACTCAAATACCCTCAGGACAAAATTAAAATAACTGTAAAAAAAAGTTCATTGACTTCTTTAAGTCACATATCGAAAAGATTTTAATAAAGCCCTATGTGTAAAAGTAAGAAAAGTTACTGTCTTTGGGAATCTGTAGTAGTCTCCAACTGCTACCAGCTTGTAACAGCCTTCGGTGACCCCTCAGTCACATGACAACTGTGACCCACAGAGCAGATATGCAGACCCTCTAAAGGTGACCCATCCGTGAGTTATGCCTCTGTCTGAAAGACACTCCTTGCAGTTTCTGGAACCAAACTAATACCTCCTTCAAAACGCCCTTCTCTCTGAAGTCAAACATCCGCTGGTTCTAGTTTTGTACCCGTTACTTCAATGGTCCTTAGCACTTGTTACTGTGCTCCTATGTAACTTTACTGAATTAGTCAATGTTTGCCACAAATGTTTCATTGTAATTCCACTTAAATAACTTCTGTTCTTTAGGCAGTTTTTTGGTCTGGAGTTGTTCAGTATAATATACTATGGGGCCATGAAAAAAATTTCCAAAAGAAAAACATCTCTTGTACCAGCAGGCCACTGTGCTGAGAAATTGAACTTGGTTAAAAATACATCTTTGGCGTGATCAAAATCCAGTCTCATGAGTCTTGCTTTCAGGAGATCTCTCTATCCCAATTTATACATTAAGAACATATGTAAATTACTGTTTCTAAGTTAGCCTGAGATAAAATTACTGTTTTGCTATTTTGAGGGGCTTCAAACTGCTGAAGGCCAAAGGGAACTGTAATGGGAGGTAACCAGAGAAGAGGTCTCTTTGTAAGCTGCGCTTTGGAGCAGGTTAACAAAAGCTGTGGCTGGGGTCGGCGCTCGCGTTTGGTGGTTACCAGGAAAGCCTGAGTCCTGCTGAATGTCCTAGAGATCACACACTCCAGTTGCCCTGGTATTCATAGAGGTGGTATTCAAATGGCTTGCACTTCCCAGAGCAGCAAATCCACTGTTAAAAGCAATGAGAAGAAATCCAGGAAGCTCAGAGAGTCCCAAAGAAGTTGGACCCAAGAAGGAACACACCAAGGCACATCATCATTACATTAGCCAAGATTAAAATGAAGGAGAGAATCCTAGAAGCAGCAAGAGCTAAGGGGACAGTCACCTACAAAGGAGTTCCCATCAGACTGTCAGCTGATTTCTCAAAAGAGACCTTACAGGCAAGAAGGGGCTGGAAAGAAGTATTCCAAGTCATGAAATCCAAAGACCTACAACCAAGATTGCTCTACCCAGTAAAGTTTTCATTTAGAATGGAAGGACAGATAAAGTGCTTCTCAGATAAGACCAAATTCAAGGAGTTCATCATCACCAAGCCCTTATTATATGAAATGTTAAAGGGACTTACCTAAGAAAAAGAAGATAAAAAAGATGAATAGTGAAAGGACAGCAAACTCACAGTTATTAAGAATCACACCTAAAACAAAAGCAAACTAAGAGTACAGCTAGATCAGGAGCAGAACCATAGAAATGAAGATCTCAAGGAGGGTTAGCAACAGGGGAGTGGGAGGAGGGGAAGGGGGGAGAAGGTACAGAAAATAAGTAGCATAGACAGTAGATAGAAAATAGATAGGGGGGAGGGTAAGAATAGCAGGGGGAAATACAGAATCTAAAGAATTTGAGACACGTGTTCATGAACTAAAGGGGGAAATGGTGGGGGAGGGGTATGCAGGGTGGAGGGGAATGGAGGGGGGGAATAGAGCAAATGTAATGGCATAATCAATAAAAAAAAGTTAAAAAAAAAAAAAAAGCAATGAGGACCTAGTTCAGGCTTTAGCAGCAGACTTGACTTTGGAACCTTGAAAACTGTTGGAGACCACCAATAAGATGGTGAACATTAGCGGTTATTTAAGTGTCGGTGTGCCAAACATCACTTTCAGGGTCGGCGGTGGGGGTAGCCAGGTGTCACAGGCCTTCCTTTGCATTTAGACTTGTGACATGGCCAAACGAGATACATTCACTGAAAGACCTAACACTTTAAACTTAGAGTCCACTAACAATCACATTTAAAAGCAAATCTTGCAATTAGCTTATTAATTTTAGTATTGCATTTATACTGTTGTTTCCCCCCCAGGGAACACTTTAAAATTTTGTTACATGATCTTCTCAGAACAGTAGTCTGCACTTCTTTCAAACTCCTAAGAGACCCTAACTGCTAAGTGTGTTACAGGCATTCTCTGTAACACACATTCTCAGTCCTTACAACTGCCAAATAAGGTAGGGGCTATTATTCAAAGATCGGAAATTTAGGTTAAGCAGTGGTTCACAACCACACGGCTAATAAAAAGGACGGCCGGGACTCAAACCTAAGCGGAACTCACCCCGCCACTTACCCCACCAGGTGATGCCTCCCGTACCAGCCTGGCCTTATTAAATCTGGGCTAGTGATGACATCATAGGTTTAAAGGCAACCCCCTCACTAGAATTTCTACATCCAACTGATTACGGTCTCATCTTTCAAAGTGACCATCAAGAAAGAACACACTTTTACTCCAGTGCCACTAATGTTGGAGCTCGTTTGAGACCCGTGTTTGTTCATTCGCTCCACAAACATTCGGTGCCTATGAACAGACATTTTGGCAGGGCCTGGAAATAAAATGATGAGAGAACCAGAAACAGTCCTTCCCCTCATTGGGCAAAGAAGGCAGCTGGGACGCAAAAGAAATACGAAATCGCAAATGTGACACGTGCTGCAAGGAACGGTAGGAGGGCCCGGAGGTGACCTGTTGTAGCCAAGGGAAGCTTCTGAGGAAGTGATGCTGAAGGTAAGTAGGCTACAGCTGTTACCGGGGTGAGGGAGAGAGGCACCCCGGGCTCTGCATGTGCACAGGCCCTCGGGAGGATGGAGACGGTGGTAGGGGAGGCCAGGCCACGCCTGGCTCTGTGAGTCTTGTGCAAGTTCTGGATTTGTCCTGAGAGCCCTAAGACTTTGGATGGGGGGAACAAGAGCGGTTCTGCATTTTAAAAGTATTGCTCAGTGACAGCTGCAGTGTCCTGGGCCAGTGGTGACCGCAGCTGGGTGGAGTCTCGGGGACAATGAAGCTAGAGAAAGGTGCATGAATCAAGGGGAAATGTGTGACAGGCCAACCTTTTGGTAGATTCTCCACGGTAGCAAGTGAATCTGGTAGCTGAACTAATTACAAGTGATTTGGAAGCAAACAGACCTAACCCATGATGTGCTTGCTTGTTTGCTCGATCTGGCTTCGACAGCTTTCTTTAGAGCTGCACAAAACTGTTAGGCAGTAGCCGTTTCACTCCAACTCACGTACAGATGACCCAAAAGGACTACTCTGGACTGTGCTGATTATTTCCTCCCCAAACAGAAATAAAATTCAAACGCATTCTTGGGCACGGTTCCTGCTGTCGATACGTGATGGCACTGGAAGTCATCGATAGCACTTCAATATGTGTGCAACATGAGTATGATTTAAGTGTGACAAGTAAGCCTTAAGAAATGTAAAATGTAAAAAAAAAAGTAAAATATACTTACCTAATGCTAGGCAGGCCATACTGAAACTGACCTTTCACTAGGTCTATAGTAAGACCAGTAACTTACTTGCTTAGTGTTTTCCACAGTGATTTAGGGATGGAAGAAATATCCTCCTTAAGATAATATTGGATGGTATTGTGATTCAGAGTAAGTTGGTAATTAATCTGTACCGTTTCCCCTAAAAATAAAATGTAGTAGAAATTACAATTTATTAAAACTTCCTAAGTAGAAGGAATACTTATCAGCTTATATTAATTAAATAAAAATGTAGGCAATATTAATTTTCATAGATCAATTTATTTAGAATTACAAATATTAAGAATAAAAGATTTATGCTTTTCTTAATTAACATAACAGTTGAGCTAAATATAAACTCTGCACTAAAGTTCTGCAGTGGCACAGAATATGGAAGCATTTTTAAACTATACAAAAATTTCAAATGGAAAATAATCTTGTTTCTGTTTTATTATACATTAACATATAAAAAGTCTCATTTTATGAGACATCTAAAAGAATTAAAGCCACTTCTACAGCTATATCTTAAACTCCAAATCTGAAAACAATTTATTATATTTTGAATTTATAATATTCTATATTAAAACAAAGAGAATTCCAAATACACACTTTTTACAAGATTAACATTTTAGGCAGGGTTTTCCTTAAAAAAAACAAACAAGAAAACAAAACCAAAACCAAATACAAACCTTTTTTTCTGTATTTCACAGCACTCGTTATTATATGTTTGCCTTATAAAATCGTTTTACTTTATAAATGGTATACTGTTGGAATTTAACCAGCAATCTGGTTCAAAATTTGTGCAAATAAACAAAAAATACGAAAATAGTGTGTTATCAGTCTTTCCTTTTTTAATAAATCTCATAACGATAGCGCCTTTTGACCTGAATTGACAGGAAAAGACATGCCAAATTCACCTGCTGAAATTCAGCATTTTGCAAGTTACGTTTTTTTCCTGCTCCTTCATTTTCTTTCAACAAACAAAAGTTTCTTTTATAAATTACGATAAATTAAAATACTTATTATTATAAAATGGTCTGCAGAACCACGTCGTGCTGCAAGTGCGTGCTCTGCGTACTTGCACAGTCCGTATTGCCCATCTGCGCGCCGGCGCCGCCCTTCAGACCAGGGCTGCTCCGACCTCCCGATGTCCTTTCGAAGACTGAGATGGCAGTTAAGCCAACGAACTGGAGATGCCATGTTCTCGATGGAATTCCCACACTGCCGTGCGTGTGCACGAAAAGCCCGCTTCTCCGTGTTCTTCGTTTCAGTTGTCTGCGTGTGTAGGGTTGAATTCATGCACGTTAAAGAAAAGGGTCAATGTATTCTTCCATGAAATTATGTTCAGACATTTTCAGTTTAAAAGCTACTGACTGATAAATATACATAATACAAGCAATGCTACTGCAGCTGAATAATGAAAAATAAATAAATATAATCGTGGTCAGCAATGCTGGTTTAAGAAGCAGTACGGTATATTAAAATGCCTTATTTGGAGGTTGAAATTTCCCTTGTCTTCCAGCAGCTGGGTTATTTGGTGTTGGAAGCCTACAGAAAGGAAACGAACTTCTCGCAGACAATGTCTATGCGGTTGGGGTCACTCAGTCTTCTGCTCAGTCTCTGTTGGTGTTATTTGCTGCAAAGGCATGTAAGTTTCCCATCTGGCTCAGGCCACTCTGAATATGTGCAACATGGATTTCTACATTATTCTGAAAGCAACTAAAGGAAGAAGAAACATGGTTAACTGCTTTATTTCACAAAATTGAAAACAAATTTTTAAAAAGGAAGAGCTTAATGTTAGTTGGGAGACAGCTAAGACAAGAATCCCAGGGAAGGAATAAATCTTCCCTTCACACGAGCCCTAATTCTACATCAGAAGTCATTGAAAGAGTACGTTCCAAAGAAGGAGCTGAGGCGGGCTGGAGAGAGGGCAGACTCTGATCGAGAATCTCTAGTTCTAAGTCGGACCTCCACGCTAAACCAAAACCTAAACATTATATGTCTTCTAATTCCTTTATATTAAGAACTCCATGTGAAGTTTCTATTCTGTCAGACTGAATATAAATGAAAATCTCTTTTACAATTTATTTAAAGGATACGAACCATATAAACATTGGGTTGGCCAAAAAGTTTGTTTTTTCCTGTAAGATGGCTCTAGTAGTGCTTAGTTGTCTTTAACTTCATTCCAAATGATATTGTTAGATTGCATCATGACAGCTGTCATATCAGCAGGCATTAAAAAGAAAATCAAAGTTAGTGGTTTTTTTGTATAGTCATTTTAATACTGAAATATACATAACATTTTCTGCATATTATGCTTTATTACCTCAAGAAAGGTAAAAATGCCAACTGAAAAGAGAACAAAGACTTGTGCAGTGTGTGGGGAAGGTGCTGTGAGCGAGTGCACGAGTCGCAAGTGGTTTGTGGAGGCTGGTGCTGGCGGTTTCTTGCGGGATGACGCGCCGCAGTTGGGAAGACCAGTCAAAGGTGACAGCGATCAAATCAAGACATCAATACAGACGGCTGACATATTCAAAACATCCAAATCCATAAAGTTATTGGTGAAAATGAAAAACGTGTCTTTTATTTTTCACGGAAAAAACTAAATGAACCTTTTGGCCAATCCAATACTTCACAAATATGCACAATTCTTAAAACTTGTACTGGAAATCACCATAAATTTAATATAAAAATCGTTAGGGTGCATCTAATGAATTACCTGATATTAGAAGCATCTATTGTACTCTTGATATCATTCAATGAATCTGTGAGTGATTTGAATTCAAAGGAATTCAGGTCTCCTCCTTCTGCTAGACACTAAAGGAAAAAAATATTTCAAAATTTAACTGAATTACAGTTCAACTACATACAAGAAAATACCTGACATAATCTGTTAAAATTATTTTTAGCAACAAATTAGCCAAGTTTGTTTAGGTGTCAAAAGTAACAAAGTACTGACTCTGAATCATACCTTAATTTGTAATAAAATAGCTGTGAGCCTGGAGATCAGGTTTGTCAGATTTTCATTTTCGACGCAGGGCTGTCCCGTGGAGGAGTTTGCGTGCCGCACGATTTCCTGGGCTTCTTCCTCGCACCTTCGCCTCATATCTGTAGGCTGGTCTGCGGGCTGGAGGCCCTGGTCTGGAGCAAGCTGCACAGACGATCGGAACACAGATGCACATTCATAAGGCCACATCGTTGGTGCATTGTGCTTCTTTTCAGATTTGGGTTTTTACAGAACCAGCATTTATAACAAAAAGGAGGGGCACTCTTACCTTAGAAGCTCTTTACTCCTATAATAGATTTTCTAGAGAAAAGAGAATTCTAGATAACTTTTTACCCAAATTCACTATTTATGGCTTATTCCATTTGACTTAACATTTGATCTCTCTGTGTATGTATATCTAATTCTTTTCCCTTACACTCTTTTATCTCTGAATTTTCATTTGTATTTCCTCAGTACAAGGACATTCTCTTGCATAAGCTAGTGTAATTATCACACTCAGGAAATTTAACACTGATATAATACCATGTTTTAATAGACTATTGTCAAATTTCATTAACTGACCATTGATGTCCTACACATGGCTATGTTTCCCCTTGAATACATTTGGTTGTCATGTCTCTTTAGAATCCTTTATTCCAGAACACTTCCAGAGTCTTTCACGACCTTGAGAGTTCTGAAAAGCACCAGCCAATTGTTTTGTATGGTCCCCTAGTGTGGGTTTTCCGTTCCCCATGACTCACTGAGGTTGCGCAGTCCGGGCAGGAGCGGAACGGCAGTGACGACTGCTGCTTCATGGGATGCCGGGATCAGGAGGCAGGGGTGCTGACCTGTCCCATTACCGGGACGTCACCTCTGACCGCTCGGTTAAGGTAGTTAAGTGTCTGCCAGGTTCCCCACAGAAAGTCCTTGTGATGGGATGTTTTGAGGCTCAGTAAAGATTTTGTTCCTCATCAAATTTTATCCCCTGCTTTTAGTATCTGTTGATGACTCTTGCCTTTACCAATCTGTCCTACAATGGTTGGCAAATGGTCTTTCTCATTCTTATTGTTCCTTCTGTGTTTATTAGTGGGTATTTTACTATAAGAACTTTTCCTTTAAAATTAGTTAATTAATTATTAGGGGACTACAGAACTTATTTTATTCAGTGGGTTATAATCTTCCTATAATTACTTATGCTGAAGCTCACACGTCCCGGATTTGGCCAGTGGAGACCCTGTCAAGCTGGTTCCTTTTGATACATCCCCTTGTTTTGGGGGCACATTTTACTTCCTGGCACAAGGAGACGGTCCAGGCTCATCTTCCACTTTCTCTGCCCTAGCTCTGGAACCAGTCCCTTCTCCAAGGAGCCCAGCTTCCTTTTATTGGAGAACAATGCTTAGAGACCGAGACTTGGGTGCCAGGTGTGTTCAGTGTGTATTGGGGTGTCGTTGCTCTAGGCTCTCTCAGCACACACCCACACTTAGTTATACCCACGTTATAAAAATAAACCATGAATTCATATAGATTCTTTCCTATTCTAATCTAATCTAACGAACCACGGGTTTGTTCTAGTCTTCCCCTTCTTTGACAGGGGAAGATCTGGCTCCTGTTCTTCTCGATATACTTGTTTAATCATCGGCTCAATCCTAGAACACAGAGTTTCAGAATTGCTAATCCTTTACCACTATGAGAGAAACTGTACCAACTAGAGTTCAATATTTGTTTAAAGCTTGGTTTACAGAGTACACAGCCAAAAGGCTGTGTCAAAGCTACGTGGATTTGCGTTGCGCCCTTCGGTGTGTTTACACTATCCCTTTGAAATACAGTCAGGCTCATTTGTTTGTATCGTGTTTCAGAGCTTACCTATGTTTGTTGGGGGAAACAAACACTTAAGAGGAATGTCAGTTCTCCCCCCCCATTCCCAAATTATAATAGTTTCTGGCTTACCCTTCCTGTGTTTGTGTTTGAAAGGTGAAGCAGATGCATGTATATTTTATTTCTGTTTATCCGAAAGGTAACATACCACATGTACTTTTTTGTTTGCTACTTTTTTCACTGAACGCATCCTGGAGGGCCCGTATCAGTGAATGCGGCGCGTCCAGGTTCGCTCTGACAGCAGCGTAGTGCTCTACTGTGTGGACCACCAGACGTTAGTTAGCCAAGCCCCTGGGTCTGGGCATTCAGGACTTATAGCATATTTTGCGATTACCAGTAATGCTGCAGTGAGTAGCCTTGTCCGCCGACACTTTCTAAAAAAATTTCAATGGAAGTTTCACATCACTACATAAAAGTTCACAAATCATGAACTGTATGGGTTAATGAATTACCACAAATCAAGTATGCCTGAGAAACCAGTACCTAGATGAAGAGAGCGAGTATCGCCAGCCCCCTGAACCCCTCCCAACACTGACTCCCAGTGTGATCCTTGGAGGGTAACAACCACCCTGCCTTTGGGCATCCCAGACTGGCTTCTGGTGGCTTTTGAGCTTTACATAAATGGAACCATCCATTACATATATTTTCTTTTGTGTCTGGCTTTATCTGTTCAACGTTACGTTATATTTGTGAGTTCATCCATGGTACTGCGTGTAGTTGAGTTCATTATTCTCATTGCTGAGTAATATTTCATTGCATAGTTTTATGACAGTTTATTGATCTATTCTAGTATCAATGGGTATTTGAATGATTCATAATTCTTGGCTATAGGGAACACTGATGCTATGAACACTCTAGTGTATACCTTTTGGTAAATATCTGTTCACATATATGTGAGGTATATGCTCAGGAGTAGAATTTCTTAGTCATAGTGTTCTCTCTGATATGTTCTTATTTTAAAATCAGTATTATACCACCACAAAAGTGTTCTGAAAGTTAAGTGATTTTCCTTCGACAATGAGCCTATCCCAAACGACCTTGTATAAATGATGAAATTATACAGAGACTGACGAGCAACCCACTGCTGCTGCACGACCAGCTCTGTTGCGTCATGTCGCCTTGCTCGGTCTGCACCTGTCCCAACTGGCTGCTGGTCCAGAGGGGGAATTGCACCTGCTAGGACAGCACATTTTGCTATGCAGTGTTTGATAACCACTAGAAAGATAAAGAAAATAATAACTGACAGCTACAGGAATGAGTAGAATATACTCAGTTTAGCAGAGGGTCACCACGGTTCATTTCCCTCAGTTTAATTCTAGTGTATTGGCAGTCTCGCCCATGGCCGACCCGGGACTCATCAAGGCTAGTGCCTTAAGAAGCTAACTGTTTAAGAATCTCATACCACAAATAAAGGTGGCTTACAAGAAACATGAAATCTCTAAGAAAAAAATAAATGCAGGAGCACTCTAAACTCATCTCAATCATTTAATTCAAATTTTAGGTGAAACTGTTGAACCACATTCAAATATACAGTTTTACGTGCATGATAATGATAATTCACAAATAAGGCTATAATCTATGTGTTTGTAGTTCCACAATCCACAGTTCTAAGGTAAAGTGTAAAGGAGGAAGAAACAAAACTGTATACACAGCATGATCATAACCTAGTGAGAAAATGTAAAAATAAATAAATAAAAATAAAAAATATTTACATAAAACTAAGGACCAGTAAACCAAAATACGGTCTTTGGAGCGACAGAACTGAGAGTGATTATCTTTCTAAATAATACATTTTGGGTGTGCTGTGTCAGCTGTAACCCAAACACGTGACGAGCTCACTGGACATACTGCACTCTGTGACACTGATGCTTTACGGAATACAAATGTATAAAACATAGTTCTGCTAAAGGATTTTATAAAGATACTGGCTCAGTTTGGATTTTCTAAAATGTAAAGGTAAGAGTATTAAGCTTCAAACAAGAAAGCGTAGAGGGCACAGCCCCTCGAGGGAAATTCATGCAAACCACCTACCTCATAGCAGAACTGCTGAACTTTATGCAAAACTTTGTTTAGGTCCTTGTTCAACTGTTCAAGCTCTAGAACAATGGTTGCATATCTCCGCTGAAATTCAATGCCAATGGGCATGGAATATGATTTCTGAGAAGAAAAGAATCAGATTTGGATAAGGAATTTTTTTAAGCAGTACAATTTCAATGATCTAATATGAGGTCTGACTTATCTACTACCAACCAAAGGTTACTGAAATGTCAACACTCAATGACATTGTCTTGTGTGCATAACATTATGTATTGCTTATTTATTTTTAAAGGATTTTATTTTTATTTATATTTAGAGAGAGATGAAGGGAAGGAGGGAAACATCAATGTGTGGTTGCCTCTCATGTGTCCCCCACTGGGGACCTGGCCTACAACCCAGGCATGTGCCCTGACTGGGAATTGAACCAGTGACCCTTTGGTTTGAAAGCCCAAGCTTAATCCACTGAGCTACGCCAGCCAGGGCTATTTTTGGAATTTTCATTTGGTCCTTTTTATTTTTGTAGTTTCCAGTCCTCATCTAATAGTCTCATTTTTTTTCTAGTATCTTTAAACAAATTAAGCATTTAAAATCTATGCCTAAAAATTCTATTATCTGGAATATGTCAATTGTCTATACTTCCTTTCAGTTTATGTTGGGGTTATCATGTCTCCTATTGTGTCTGGGATTTAAAACGAGTGTTAGACATTGTGGGTTGAATATTGTGGAAATAATTTGACGTCTAGTGTGATGTCATATTCCTTAAAGAGGACACAGTTACTTCTGGTGCGCTGCTTAAGCCCCTAGAGTTCTATAATCTCTTAGTTCAGTTCCAGAGATGTGCAATCTGAAGCTTCCATGCTCCAGATTCCAATCCAGAGCACAGAAGGTTTGCTAGCTTCTCCTGACCCTTGGTGGGTCTTTGGGCTCTGATTTTTGTCCTCCCTACCCTTGTAAGCCACTCGAGAATGCGACTCGGCTTCTAAGCCATCTTTTTTGAAACTTGCAAAATCCCCTGAGTAAAAAGTCAGACTTCCCCTTTTGACGTTACATCTTTTCCCACATCTTATCCCTGTAATTATCTAATGCCTGGTTAATGCTCCAGTGTCTTCAAGCAGGTTACTTTAATGTTTTATTCCAGAGGAAACAATTATTCTTATCTATTTGGAATAGAAAGGTTAATTCAGTACTAGCTGGTGTGGCTCAGTGGACTGAGTGCAGGCTTGCAAACCAGGGTCACCTTCGATTCCCAGTCAGGGCACATGCCTGGGTTGCAGGCCAGGTCCCCACTTGGGGGTGCACAAGCGGCAACCACACATTGATGTTTCTCTCCATCTCTAGCTCCCTCCCTTTCCCATTCTCCAAAAATAAATAAATATTTTAAAAGATATATGAAATATATTTTTTTAAAAAGAAAGGTTAAGCCCTGGCTGGTGTAGCTTAGTAGATTGAGCACCGGCCTGTGAACCAGAGGATCGCGGTTCGATTCCCAGTCAGGGCACATGCCTGGGTTGCAGGCAGGTTCCCTGCAGGACAGTTCCCTGCAGGGGATGCACAAAAGGCAACCATACATTGATGTTTCTCTCCCTCTCTCCTTCCCCTCTAAAGATAAATAAATAAAATCTAAAAAAAAAAAAGAAAGGTTAATACAGATCTCCTAGTCCACCATTATCAAAAGCAAAAAAAAAGCTTAATTTTTCCGAAACGGTATGTTCAAATTCTTTAGAAATATGTGTTTCATTTTCTCCCAATAACGTAGGTAAATGCCACACTTAAATTCTGTCACTGGGTTGAGGGAGGGACAGGAAGAGGCAGACCCTGACTCCATCTCTTTGTTACTGTGTCTCACTTCTGTACTCCTCCATCATACTCACAGCTCTGCGCCTGGGGCCTCGTCGGGGCTCCAACGCGCAGCCTTTAGCCGTGGTTTTTGTTTCATCCAATGTGTCAGAGAAATTTAGAAAATCTTTCACACCTGGTTAAATATCTGCTTCCATTTATTCTACTTCCTCCTTTTGTACTTACTCTGTGTGAAACTGTAAGGGTTAGGAAGAAAATGCCCCGCCTGTCATCTTAAACCAGAAGTTTCATCAAACCTTTAAAATGTTCCCATACTGTGAGCCAGCCATTCTACCGTCTAACAATGGATGCTACAGACAGACACAAACAGATGCGCACAGCTACATGGACATGAGCATTTACTGCAGCACTGTTTTAGTAAAGTAATGGAAGTAACCCAAATATCCATTAAGGAATTATTTAATTGATGGTACAATACAGAAATTTTAAAAGACTGAGATGTTTCTAATGACATAATTCCATTTATGTTAGAGAATAATTTTCAAAACCACATGTGAATGTGGTAGTAGTATATACATAGAGGAAGATACCTATATGCTAAATTTATAGTATATATTAAACCGAATAGCATTTATTTACAGGAGAGGCATTATAAAGAATTGTTTTCCTTATTAAATACTTTTATAATATTTAAATTTTTATAATAGAAATTATTTTGAACCACAAATAAAACAAAACAAATAATAAAACATATTAAACCAACTAGATTTCTACAAAGTTCTCACATGCCAAGAAGCCAAGACAACATCAAAACAGGCCTCTATTTAGGAGTAGGTAACACTGCCCTGAGTGGTATAGCTCAGTGGGTTGGGCATTGTCCTGATTCAATTGCCACTGGTCACTGGTTCAATTGCCAGTCAGAACACAAGCCCGGGTTGCAGGCCAGGTCCTGGGTTGGGGGGCACATGAGAGGTAACCAATCGAGGTTTCTGTCCCTCTCTTTCTCCCTCCCTTTTCCTCTCGCTAAAAATAAATAAATAAAATCTTAAAAAAAAAAAAAAAAAAGAGTAGGTAACACTAACCAACCTAAGGCAAGCCCAATATTTTAAGGCATGGAACCTGGCCGATGGGCAAAGTCCTAGCTAGTGATATGAAAGTGAAATGCATAAAGATGGAAGAGATGATACAATTAATCACAGAAAATGTAATGGAGGCGCACGAAATAAAAAGAAACAGAACTGGTGGATAAGAATTAAAGTCCAGTAGAAAAGATTTTAAACAACATTTTAATGTTTAGAATATATAATATCACTATGTTATGGCTAGTTTTTTCAATCTTTGATAGCCCATTCATCTGATAATTTCATATCAGGCCTAAGTGGGTTAAATAGGGACCAAGAGGCCTGTTTTGGTACCTGTACATAGCAGTATGATCTTAGACTAAAATCTCTTGACATTTTTGGTCTTCAGTTTCCAATTCCATAAAATGATGAATTTGAATTAGATAATTCAGATTTTAAAAATTCTACAACCCTAAAAGAGAACTGCTCCGCATTCAGTTACACGTCTACTTATCCAGCTGGCCCGTTACCATTCCCTCCCAGAGACGACTGACGCCACAACTCCCTATTCCTGCACTTGTGACAGATGTTGGTAGTCAGCTGTCACACTCTGTTCCCCAGGTGCAGTCACGGAGCTCTCCCTCACTCTCGTATTTCCACACAGTCATTTTCACTCTACTGGAGATGGTGTGGTACCGGAGATGAACTCTATTCACCACCCTAATAAATCCATGAGCAAGTCACAACTTTCAACACGGTTCAACTTGAAACCTATATAATTTTATTAATCAATGTCACCCCAACAAGTTCAATGATAAATAAATAAGACAAAACAAAACCCCCCAAAAAAGTTCAAAACTTTCTTGGTGCATATTTTCTACATAAAAATAAGCAAGACTGATAAATCTCTTGTATGAATAAAACTGACTGTTATATTTCTGGACTGATTAGGCTAATAAAGTAGGATATAAGCTGTCCAAATAACCTGATGATGCCAACTTATGTATTTCCTGATTTACTTCTTCTGCATCACTTTTAACAACCTCTGTTGATACGACTTCCTTAGTTAGAGGCACTAACGCTAGGGATTCTATGCTCATGTAAACTGTCAAAGAACCCAATATACCCATGAACCCCATTCAACTGTACAGGCAAGTGCACAGTGAGGGGTGGGCTAATGAACTGTACTGAACTGTTCATTCACTTACTGTGTGTTCAGTGGGACAAGAGGTAGTGACATCAAATGAAGATTTAAAAATAACATTTATTTCAAGGTGTTCTTCCATAAAATATTTAAAAATCTTTAGATATAGAAGCCCCCACCATTTAAAAATTTGACAAGCAAAGAAAAAAGAAAAAACTTACCAATTTTTCTGCATCTGTATTCATTTCCCTTAATTTCTTGATATGTTCCTTTTTAATCATGAGAATTTTTGATAATCTGGTCTATAGAGAAAGAAGAGATGTTTTGGAACAAATACGGGTATTTAAGTGTATCATACATCAAATTTCCAACTTTTCACTAAGACATTTTAGCAGTAAATTTTAGTGTTTCAGTATAAATATAGCACAGGCCTTTTATTTTATTAATCTGATTGGCTGACAAGAAAATATGTAAAAATGCACTGCAGCTAGGACATGTCGAAAGGACTAAAGAGTCCACCTGAGCCAATGGGACAATTCGTGGACCCATAAGAATAAAAAAGAATAAAAACGACAATGGGCTAAAGCACAAATATGTTAAAACCTATAAAGTAACCTCTGTTACAGAATGCTAGTGACTAAAGTCATTATTTTATAAACTGAAAAACAAAGAACCAAACATTTATTCTGCCTTTTCTATACAAACTAAACCACTAGGTAACCAAATAATAGATTAGGGGAAATCTTTCTTTATAGAATTGTTTCAGTAAAGAGTGAAGAAAGGTGGATAGAATGAAAATAGCATCATTTTACAATCCCAATAAATGACAGACCTAGGACAGATACACAGTGCCAGCTAACATGATATTAAAAAAGAAAATAATATGTCTCCTATCAGAATATGTAACCATCTATAAAACCCATCACATAAATACAAGTAAACCAACCAAATAAAAAACCCAAATCTAAAGGACTTCCACCAAGATGGAGGTGTAGGTGGAAGCACTGCGCCTTCTCGCACAACCAAGTTTAAAAACAACAAAGTTTTAGCAACAAAAACGCAGCCAAACTACAGAAAATTGAACTATATGGAAGTCTGACAACAACGAACCCTTCAGCCAAACCAGTAAGAGGGGCAGAGCCAGCAGCAGAGTGGGGTCGGGAAGGAAAGATCCACCAGACCCACCCGGGCCCGCGACCCAGGTGCGCCAGCAGCTGTGGGCGGATCACAGGTGTGGAGAAGGGGGCGGACCCACTGAGGGTGCAAGGCAGTGGACTCACTGAGGGCTGACTGTAGTCACACATTCGTGGGCAGATAAACCAGTGAAGGAGTGAGCAGTGAGACGGACCGCGCAGGCCCCAGTGGCAGAGTGGACCGCTATTGTCCCTCACTGACCCCACCCCCACATACAGCATCACAAACCAGCGACCTGGGTGGCCCCACCCTGGTGAACACCTAAGGCTCCGCTCCTCATACATAACAGGCACGAACAGATCAAAACATTATGGCTCAAGAACAACTCAGAGCCCCAGAGCCAACAAATCTAAGCAATCAAGAAACTGCCAAACTTTCAGATGCACAGTTCAAAACACTGGTGCTCACAGAACTGGTTGATTTTAGCCACAAATTAGACAAACATATGAAGGCTAAACTAATTGAAATGAAGGGAAATACACATGAAACCAATAGTAATGGAAAGGAACCTGGGACGCAAACCAAAGGAGTGGACCAGAAAGAGGAAAAAAATGACCAAACAGAAAAGAATGAAGAAACAAGAATTCAAAAAAATGAGGAGAGGCTTAGGAACCTTCAGGACATCTTTAAACACTCCAACATCTGAATCAGAGAAGTACCAGAAGGGGAAGAGGAACAGCCACCAGTGGAAAACTTATTTGAACAAATAATAAAGGAGAACTTCCCCAATCTGGCAAAGGAAATAGACTTTCAGGAAATCCAGGAAGCTCAGAGAGTCCCAAAGAAGGTGGACCCAAGAAGCAACACACCGAGGCACATCATCATTACATTAGCCAAGATTAAAATGAAAGAGAGAATTCTAGAAGCAGCAAGAGATAAGGGAGCAGTCACCTACAAAGGAGTCCCCATCAGACTGTCAATGGATTTCTCAAAAGAGACCTTACAGGCAAGAAGGGGCTGGAAAGAAGTATTCTAAGTCATGAAATCCAAAGACCTACATCCAAGATTGCTCTATCCAGCAAAGCTTTCATTAGGAATGGAAGGGCAGATAAAGTGCTTCTCAGATAAGATCAATTCAAGGAATTCATCATCACCAAGCCCTTATTATATGAAATGTTAAAGGGACTTATCTAAGAAAAAGAAGATAAAAAAGATGAATAGTGAAAGGACAGCAAACTCACAGTTATTAACAACCACACCTAAAACAAAAGCAAACTAAGAGGACAGCTAGATCAGGAGCAGAACCATAGAAATGAAGATCACATGGAGGGTTAGCAACAGGGGAGTGGAAGGAGAAGGGGGGTAGAAGGTAGAGAAAATAAGTAGCACAGACGGTAGGTAGAAAATAGGGGGGAGGGCAAGAATAGTATGGGAAATATAGAATCTAAAGAACTTGAGACATGTGGTCATAAACTAAAGGGGGGAATGGTGGGGGAGGGGGTGTGCAGAGTGGAGGGGAATGAAGGGGGGAAATAGAACAACTGTAATGGCATAATCAATAAAATATATATTAAAAAACCCAAATCTAATCAAAACTACATATCCAATGAGCAATTTTATGAAAAATACAAAAAACAGAAGAACACGTTGACTGATACCACAAGGATTCTGCAAAATCCAGACTATGGGAGACTCTGGGCAAATAATCCAGTTTCTTTAACAAATAAATTATATGGAGAAAGAGAGCATCTGATATTTGAGGGGAAATGAAAAATTTAACTGCCAACAGGATATCTGATACTATTAGGATATTTTTGTTAACTTTTTAGATGTAACAATGATATATTATATATTACAGTTATGTTTCTTTAAAAAATAAGAGGCCTTACCTCTTAGAGATACATAATAAAATATTTACAGATAAATTATATCTGTCTAGTATTCGCTTCCAAATAACACAAAAGGGAGAAAGTAGGTGGGGGTAAAGATGAAACAGGACTAGTCAGGAGTTTTTTTGTTTTTTGTTTTTAATACATTTTTATTGAATTCAGTCAGGAGTTCTTAAGAAGCTATAGCCAGTAATGGATACATTGAACTGCATTATACAATTCTGTCTGCTTTTATGTACTTTAAACATTTGATACAAAAATTTCTTAAAAATCGGCCTGGTGAGATATGTTATGTACTTGTCTGCACAGACCTGTATTTATGGCTCAACAGGTCCAGCGCTCTGGACCGCTCTCCCTTCTCTAAGTTACTGAGTCTGGACCGCTCTCCCTTCTCTAAGTTACGGAGTTTTTATGAAAATTTGTGTGACTTTTTTTTTTGAAGTTGGAAGCAGTAAAAGATGGGATGAAGGCAACAGTCTCTCTCTTGCCTTTTGTGTTTGTTTTAGTTTTGTGTTGCTTATTTGTTTTTGATAGAAAATCACTGTTTCCTTTTGATTATTTTCAAAACTAAGTTCTCTACAACAAAGCGGATAGATCTTTTTAGATTCTTCCAAATCCCTACCCCAGGAATAAAAAGTTCCCTCAAAAAGAAAATTCACTGTAAACTATGAATTATAAAACTTGCAAAATATTTTAATGTTTAAGAAAAATATTAGAAACAGAAAAAATAAAAACATATCCATCTACTTATCCATGTACTTCAAAGCTTAATATTTACAAGAACAAACCTGAGTTTTATAAAACCTTACATACTACAAAAGACAAAAGGCCTTTTATTTTTACCTCTCGGCCTAAGATAATAATTGGAATCATTACATGATTTAACTAGGCTTAACATATGTAGATTGTGAGTTAAGAAATGAAGACCTGAAATCAAATACCTAAGCATCAATAAAAGTATCAACACTCGAGCCCTGGCTGGTATAGCTTAGTGGATTGAGTGTGGGCCTGTGAACCAAAGGGTCACTGGATCGATTCCCCCTCAGGGCACATGCCTGGGTTGTGGGCCAGGTTCCCCAACAGGGGGATATGTGGGAGGAAACCACACGCTGATGTTTCTCTCCCTCTCTCCTTCCCTTACCCCTCTCTAAAAATAAAAAAATAAAATCTTTAAAAAATATCAATACTTCAATCCAGTGGTACTCAGTTTCCGGCTCCCCCTGTTAGTGAACTGGTGAGTCGATCTCTCTCTCATCTTTGTTTTCGCTTTCACTAGTTAAAGAAAGCATGTCTTTATTTTATTTTTTTTTAAGATTTTATTTATTTATCTTTAGAGGGGAAGGGAAGGAGAGAGGGAGAGAAACATCAATGTATGGTTGTCTTTCATGCGTCTCCTGTTGGGAACTGGCCTGCAGGGAACCTGCCTGCAACCCCAGTATGTGCCCTGACTGGGAATCGAACCACGATTGGTTCGTAGGCCCGCGCTCAATCCACTGAGCTATACCAGCCAGGGCTATTTTTTTTTTTAATTTAAAAAATATATATTTTATTTATTTATTTTTAGAGAGAGGGGAAGAGAAGGATAAAAAGTAGAGAAACATCAACATGTGGTTGCCTCTTATGTGTACCCTGCGGGGGTACACATGCCTACAACCCAGGCATGTACCCTGACTGGGAATCAAACCGGCAACCCTTTGCTTCCCAGGCCCGTGCTCAATCCACTGAGCTACACCAGCCAGGGCAGAAAGTATGTCTTTAAATGGCAAATGAACAAGTCTTCTATTTGTAAAAAGCATAACCTTTGGCTCTTTTCATAATTTAAACTCTTTATATAAAAATATCTTATCTACCTTTGGAAGCCAAAAGGCAAAATAAAATTCTATATTGCAAGGAAATTTAACAACATATGACTGAGAAATACAAAATAGTATATACATCTACACAAATGATAAGACTTTCCCCCCAAATAACATCAACTGCAAAAGGTAACACTGAATATTTTAATGGATCATGCTGTATAACATAACACATATAAACTTTTTATTTATAAAGACTATCTCAAGCCAAAGTATTTTTTCTTCATTTCAGTTTTTCTTTTCAAACATTAGACCATGATTCAAGCTAAATAATTTAACCTAACCTTCTAAACAACTCATTACATTTTTAAGAGTAAGAGTATTTAGGGAAACTGTTATATATAATAATTGTACACTTGTTCCAATTTAGGCTTAGATTTCTTAATGAATAGCTATTTCTACTTTCAGAAAGTTCCTCCTAACCAAAGAGCTAGCCAACACATTGCAGCTGTTCAGTTGGCTGATAATGGCAAGGTGCACTGAGATTACGAAATAAAAGCTTTATACTTGTACAAGTTATTAACAGCTTACCATTCAGAGTTTCACAGAGCACAAGCTAGAATGTGAGGGTCCTTAACATAACCAAATAAGAAGAATCAAACCTAACAAAAGCCTAACAGACCTCTAAGTCTTTTTTGGCTGTTATAACTTCCATAAGTTTTGATGGAAATAACAAAGTTCTTAAAACCAATACAATGATAAAAATATTTAAATATTAGGTCCTAGGAAAACTTTCAACTTCAATAACACAAAAGACATTTTCTTAATGAAGTCAATATATTCAGAAAAATTCTCACCACTTGGATAAGGAATTCTACTGGAAAGCCACCCAAGGTTTCAGTGTCGGAGCCTGCAATCTTACTTCTCCAAGGTGACTGTCCTAACAAAGGGTCATTATCCTGTGGGTACAAGAAGGAATCATTTAACCATGGACTGTTCAAAAGGAAGTATCTGACATTTAGGTGAAGAGTCAATTACACTCTAATTAATATTATATTAAAAATCTACTTTTTCCAGCAGTGATGACCTCCCCACGACCACATGCCTCCCACAAAGGATCTCCTTCCTCGCTCTTCAGAAGAGGAGGAGAGGAAACACAAGAAGAAGCACCTGGTGCAGAGCCCAGTTCCTACTTCACGGATGTGAGATGCCCAGGATGCTATAACACATGTAGCATCAGCTTTAACCAGCACAAACAATAGTTCTGTGCCCTGCGTACTCCACTGTCCCCTGTCAGCCCACGGAAGGACAAGCAAGGCTTACGGAAGGACGCTCCTTCAAAGGTACCCTGAATCAAGATGAGTGGGGAATCATCCCAACAAACACACTTTGGATACAAAAAATAAAGGTAAAAATTCTACCAAAAAATTTTCAGAGTTGAAGCAACTATTTATTTTATTTAAAATCTGACAACTCAAAATAATGTGGGTATCTCCTGAAGTTGCTGTAGTAGATGTAGACATAGTTCACATTATAATAATCATTCAAATTACTGATGACATTTAAAAAATGTTACCGTGGTTGGCGCCGGGAGAAGAGGAGTATAATGTAACCGTGGTGGAGTCATTAAAAATCGAGAAGGCCGCTGTTTTTGTCCAAAGGCAGCAATTGGCATTGTCTCGTGAGGCTCGTTACTCTTTGGGGAAAAAAAGTCCACAAGACTTGTAGAACTTTGCCAATCATTGCATATTTCTGCATAATATACATACAGTAGCTCATATGCTATGATTTATCAGAGGGTATATTATTCTACAAAGATCAAAGGACTAGAACTTAAGTCAGAATATGAAAAAACTCTCCTACCAAAAGACTAAACACATAAAACAAGAGGATTAAGAAAAAGATAAAAAGACTGAAACAGAGGATCAGAGATTAATATGGAATATTAAAGTGTTCTATGGCCACCCTTGGTTGTCTGTGTGTTAAAGACTATCTCAATATTACCTACTATAATTAAAGTCAATTCTCTGGCCAGAGAGAAATACCTAGGTGATCTCATAAAAGGAATTACATTGACGAAACAGAAAGCAATAAAAAAAAAAGATTTTATTTATTTATTTTTATGAAAGGGGAAAGGAGGGAGAAAGAGAGGGAGAGAAACACCTTGCCCCTTGAGCCCCCAGCTGGGGACCTGGCCCACAGTCCGGGTTCACACCCCGACCAGGAGTCACACAGGCAGCCACTGGTTTGTGGACAATGACCAACTCACTGAGCCACACCAGACAGGGCCAACTTTTCTTTTTTTGAAAAGAGAGGTTGAAAGATTTCATCCTTTAATGAAAAAACATAAGGTTGTGTATGTACTTTGATCTATATTTAGTCCAAATGGTCTTTCTCTCTTAATTGTCCTCTAAAAATTATGTTTGATAAGGAAACCCTCAAAATAAACAGTCATAGTTTTTAAAAAGTTCATATCAGAAAAGGAAGACTCTTCTATTTTTGCACTGAGCAAATAAAGAAATTTTAATTTTTAATTTTAAGCTCATAAACCTTAAGCATCAAGTTTATAACAAAGAAATGGAAAAGGGAGCCTAAGGTGGAACAATTTAATTTTCATAATGCTTACAGGCAAATAGTTTTGTTGTAATAAGTTCATTATTCACTTTTTCAAACCTTTGTTAGGTTGCATAGATTTATTCTTAAAATTATTTTAACTCATCAGAAAGGTGTATAATTTTCATGACTTTGCTAAATCAGCCATGATCATGAACTAATGGCCCTATAGTTTAATGGACTGCAAAGAAATTTGAGAGCTCTGCATTCTAGTCTCACAGTCCGGAAACCAGCTCTACAGCCTGGCTACATCACTCACAGTAATTTGTAATTATTAATGTCTCAGTTTCCTACCCTGTGTAATTCTGGGGATAAAACCGGAGAACAAATGTTAAAGTGCAATATGTTCCTTCATACTTCAAAAAGCATTTTGCAGGAGAACAGTAACAAAACAGCTGGAATGAAAATGTTCTGTAGCTTATTCCCTAAGATGATGTGTAGTCAGGAGTGATCGGTTCTGTCACTCCAAAGTGCTATTGGTTAAGGCACAACAGAGAAATGTTCGATTCTCAGAAATGTGGAAGACTTAAGTATAGTTCTGCCCCAGGGGTCCAGTGGGCAGGAGCTGGAACCCCTGAGGATCTTTTCCTCTGTGACCTGAAATCTTGGTTCTATAATAGAACACAGTCTCTAAAAAACCTCCATATAACGTATTTAATAGGCATAATATACAAACATATATGAAATACTTACAAGAACTTCATAGTCAGGGATAGTATGGGTTCCAAGCCCCGCCCTATCAAAAGTTACTCGGTAAGTGGCGTTGTAAGTATCCACAGCAGCTATCTGTCCAGTGAACAGGCCATCGTGAACTCCACGTAATCGCGCTGAGAAAATAACCAAAAAGGCACCATGATGTTTGGAAGTTACAAAGAACTGTTGATTATAACACTGCTCCAAGCATCTAATTTAAAATGTAGAAAGTACAGTATTGTTATTTATTATAATTTCAATAATTAGTATAAATTTTATTTAGAGAAAAAAAGTTCTTAGAGAAAGAAAATTTTAAACAAAAAACAAAACTATAGGACTTCTGCCAAGATGGAGGCATAGGTGGATGTGCTGTACCTTCTCACACAACCAAGTTTAGAGACAACTAAATATTAGCAACAGAAAACACAACCAGAACACGGAAAATTGAACTTTTCGGAAGTCTGTTAACAACAAATTCTTCAGCCTGACCGGTAAGGGGAGAAACCAGCGGCTGGTGAAGTGGGGTTGCACAGGAAAACTCCGTCTGACGGACTCAGGTGCGGACTCCAGACGCGACGAATCCAGGGGCAGGGTTGGACCTAGTGAGCGACCGAGTGAGTGACCAGGCGAGCGACCGCGGGGGAGACAGCGGGCGAGCGGGGCTGCGTGTTGACTGTGGTCACGCATTTGTGCGTGGGTGGACAGGCGAGGGAGTGGGCGCTTAGACCGGGGCCGGTGGGCCCCCACTGCAAGCAGCAGTGGAGGGCGCCCCCATCTCCCTGCTCTGACCCCACCTCCACATACAGCGTCATAACCTAGCGACTCTGAGTGGCCCGGCCCAGGGGAACCACCTAAGGCGTTGATCCTCACCCAGCTGTGAGAAACAGCAGAGGGGGTCGCCATTTCCCCGCTCTGACCACGCCCCCACATACAGCGTCACAACCCAGCGACCTGGGAGTCCAAGGCACCGCTTCTCACACTTAAAGGGCGCGAACAGACCAAAAATGGCGCAAGAAGATCTCAAAGCTCCAGAGCCCATAAATCTAAGCAATGAAGAAATAGCAAAACTCTCAGATGCACAGTTTAAAACACTGGTCATCAGGATCCTCACAGAACTGGTTGATTATAGCCACAAATTAGACAAATATATGAAGGCAAAACTAATTGAAATGAATGGAATTGCACAGGAAACCAATAGCAGTGAAAAGGAAACTGGGACTCAAATCAATGGAGTGGACCAGAAGAAAGCAAATAATGGCCAAACAGAAGAGTCAAGAAGCAAGAATTCAAAGAAATGAGGAGAGTCTTAGGAACCTCCAGGACATCTTTAAATGCTCCAACATCCGAATTATAGGGGTACCAGAAGGGGGAAAGGCACAGCCACCAGTGGAAAACTTATCTGAACAAATAATAAAGGAGAACTTCCCCAATCTGGCAAAGGAAAAAAACTTCCAGGAAATCCAGGAAGCTCAGAGAGTCCCAAAGAAGTTGGACCCAAGAAGGAACACACCAAGGCACATCATCATTACATTAGCCAAAATTAAAATGAAGGAGAGAATCCTAGAAGCAGCAAGAGCTAAGGGGACAGTCACCTACAAAGGAGTTCCCATCAGACTGTCAGCGGATTTCTCAAAAGAGACCTTCCAGGCAAGAAGGGGCTGGAAAGAGGTATTCCAAGTCATGAAATCCAAAGACCTACAACCAAGATTGCTCTATCCAGCAAAACTTTCATTTAGAATGGAAGGACAGATAAAGTGCTTCTCAGATAAGATCAAATTCAAGGAGTTCATCATCACCAAGCCCTTATTATATGAAATGTTAAAGGGACTTATCTAAGAAAAAGAAGTTAAAGAAACATGAACAGTGAAAGGACAACAAACTCACAGTTATTAACAACCACACCTAAAACGAAAGCAAACTAAAAGGACAGCTAGATCAGAAGTGGAAACATAGAAATGAAGATCTCAAGGAGGGTTAGCAACAGGGGAGTGGGAGGAGGAGAAGGGGGGAGAAGGTACAGAAAATAAGTAGCATAGACAGTAGATAGAAAATAGATGGGGGGGGGACAAGAATAGCATGAGAAATAAAGAATCTAAAGGACTTGAGACACATGGTCATAAACTAAAGGGGGGGTAATGGTGGGGATGGGGGGGTAGGGTGGAGGGGAATGAAAGGGGGAATAGAACAACTGTAACAGCATAATCAATAAAAAAAATTAAAAAAAAACTATAAATGATGATCCTATGATCCCTTCTGATATATGAAATCAGGTATCTACCAAAGTTAAAAGAAATATTTTTAAATTATTGCTTTAAATTCTGAATTGCAAAAAGAAAAAGTCAACAAAAGAACTCTGGTCATTATGCTAATGAGTGAAATGACAGGTGTGGTTCCACTTTAAAGAAAAGAGAAGGATTCGGTGAAGAAAACAATGAGGATACTGGCCCGAGACTGCTCTCCTTGGAAAGGCCTGACTACAGGGTGACATCTGGGAACTGGAACCTCCAGAGTTTCCCACACTGCTAACGGTGGTTCCCTGTGCCTAGACTGCTTGTGAAAGTGATGCGATTTATGCTGTATGCCTGCTTTCCTTCGGAAGTCTGCAATTCCAGTATGTGCTAGCAAATGTCTACGTGAGCAGCCCCCAGTAGAAACCTTGGGGACTGAATCTCTAACAAGTTATTTGGGTAAACAACACCTTAAGTGTATTAGTACTTTTGCTCGACGTATCAAGCAAGTTGTGTGTGACACACAGGAAGAGGGTTCTTGGAAGCTTGAACTAGCTTCCTCTGAGCTTTTGCTCTGGCACCTGTTCCCTTTGCTAATTTTCCTCTGTATCCTTCTCTGTAATAAGCCAAGGCCACAAGTGCTGAGCTCTCTGAATCTTCCTAGTGAGTTGCCAAACTCAGGGGACCCCTCACATAGATGAATATTTATGTCACTATTATTTAAATGCAGTCTGAAAGAACACCAGGAAAATCCAAGCAAACACCCAGCATGAGTGAAAAACATAAGAATAGCATTTAAGGCATTAAACTAGACAAAGTGACATAATTTATACGGGTTAAAAAGTACAATACACAATATCGTTATAACAGAACACAAATATTTGATGGAAAACTGTTTAAAAGAATCACTTGATTAAAAAACCACAATTGTAGAAGCCTAAAATATTGTCTTTGACAGATCAGTTAAGAAAAAATTAAACAGGTATATAGAAGATATAAGTAATAAAGTAGAATAAGCAAACATAAATACAGAAAAGGACTTCCAGTTATACAGCAGTATGAAGAGGTTTTTGATTCTTCTCTGTGAAAGACAAGTATAAACCTGTACAGGATTGTCAAACACAACCATTTCAGGATACTGGAAGTGAATCAAATACAGAGAACACGTAAGAAATGTTCAGTGTGGAAAAACTGCCAGAGCTTCAGGTCAGGGGAAGGCGGTGGCCTTTTTGCATGGGGCTACTCACACCCCAGCATCACCACCCACTTGGCTGGTAAGAATGGCTTTACTAGTGTAAAAGCTGGTCATGAAAACCAGCAGCGCTGCTGCAATAGGGGGTAGACTGCACGAGGACCAGTGCATAGAAACCTGTGACTCTGCCACTTTAAAGTGATGAAGTCAATGAGGAAAGAAAAAGAAAAACTCACAGCTTTTGTAAGCCCACAGGGTAAGCCTGGCTGTGCTGAACGGCAGAATAACCAAAAATGTAATGGGGAGATCCTGGAACCTAGAAAGCCGTAAAAGGGCTGACATAAGCTCTCCACAAATCCCTGGCTAAGGAAAGCTATGTGGAAGGGTGGGGAGTATCTAAGAGGCTTGTCAAAAGTAAAGGCTAAGGCTTCCTTCCCTCCAGAAAACACTCCCCCATTAACCATGTCTCACAACTTTTCAGTACAATTACTAACTTACCCACCCACTCACATAAAACCTTGCCATTTCTTGTACCACGTAAGTTGCAATTTTAGTTAACCAAATTCTTTAAGATTAACTTAAACTTGGCTTTGGTGGTACTTTCTCTCTATGTTATAACTCAAGAAAATATACAGAATCATATCTATAAATTGGCAAAATTTATACTCTTACAAAATTTTGAATAAACTAACAATTGAATAATTAGTTTTATTGAATCATCAGAAATAGACTCTTTCTAGACCCAAGGATCATAAGAACAATGGTGTTTATGGACTACCCAGAAAAGACTGCTTAGAAAAGTAAAAAAACAGAATAATATAAAACTTTGAAATTTGAACAATTCACAGATGAAGAAACAGTAATCTGTACAGTATATTGCTGTAGAACTATAGTTTAAGCTTCCTAAATTTAAAAGCTACTTCTCTAATAAAGGTTATTTTGGAGAAAAATCACAAGTCAAAATATGAACAAGCTTATCTCACGAACCCGTAACTTTGGTTCCAATAACCAGCGGTAAAGGAATCTCATCTGGGAGATCTTTGAATTGTGAAAGATCCGCAACTTTCTTTTGTTGTAAGAGCCGGATTTTCTGCCGCTTCTGTTTTAGTGCTGATCGCTCTTCCTCAAAAAATGCAGAAGAACATCTAGAATAAATTATAAAAATAATATAAAACAACTATCCTATACAAAAACTTGAAATCAGACCCTCCATTGTTCTCTTTATTCCTCTCATTCTTTTGAGTACTGTATTTAAAAACAAATTCTTAGAAATAATCGTTCCCTTTCAAAATAAGTTCCTTTTACGTCCTTTAAAACACAGGGCCTTACAAAACTCAAAGACATATAAGCAGGTCTAGATTACTCCTTCCTGTACAGCAGAAGGATTTGTTCACATCCTTTGACAAAACTGTAGCTGGATGCCAGGTCTTATCTTAAGGAAGAAGTTCAATTCTAATACTCTTTTCAGAAAAGCACAATGTTTTCTGCCACCCAGTGAGTGCACTAACATAGGAATTCAAGACGAGACTTGCCACCGTGTACCCAGTTAAACATTCCTCCTGCCTTGAAGTGTGAATACTGAATTTACTCTTTAGGGTCTGTGTGTCTTCTGCTTCCAATGCTATGATGAACGGAAGGTATTTAAACATGGGTTTCATACAACAAAACATATATCCATAAAACCATCACCACAGTTAACAAAATATGAAGATATCGCTTATCCCTGGAAACTTCCTTGTGCTGCTTTATTTTTCCTTCCACTTCTCTGCTCCTACTTACCAAGCAACCTCTGAGTTGCTGTCCACCATTATCATTTCTAGCTTCTACAATTTTATATAAATGGAATCATCTGGTATGTACTCCTTTGTCAGGCATCTTTCCTCCAGCATAGTTATTCTAAGATTCATTCATGCTGCCACGCATCAGTCCATTCCTTTTTACTGAAAAAGAGTATTCTATTGTATGGATGCATCACAAACTGTCTACCCATTCACCTGTTGGTGCATGTTTGGGTTGTTTCCAGTTTGGGGTTATTACAACAATGTTGATATGAGTATTTTTGTATAGGTTTTTATATAATCATATACTTTACTTTCTCTAAAGTGAATACCTAGGAATAAAATGGTTGGGTCATATGGTCAGTGTATGTTTAACCTCTTAAAAAATCAAAGAAGCCAAATATCACCAAAGAAGATACATAGATGGCAAACAAGCATATGAAGAGATGTTCCCTGTCACATGTCATTACGGAAATGCAAATAAATTGAGACACCACTACTACTACATTAGAACGGCCAAAATCTGAAACACCGCCACCGCCAAATGCCGGTGAGGGTGGGGAGCAGCAGGAACTCTCATTCACTGCGGGTGGGAATATAAAATGGTGCAGCCACTCTGAGAGACAGTTTGGTGGTTTCTTACAGAACTAAACATATTCTTACCATTTGATCCAGCAATCACATTCCTTGGTATTTACACAAATGAGCTAAATAGTTAAGTCCACACTAAAATGGATGTCTACATCAGCTTTATTCCTAACGATGAAAACTTATACACATGGATGTCTACATCCATGTACACATGGATGTCTACAGCAGCTTTATTCCTAACAATCAAAACTTGGAAGCAGCCCTGGCTGGTGTAGCTCAGTGGACTGAGCGCGGGCCTGCGAACCAGGCAGTCACGGTTCAATTCCCAGTCAGGGCACATGCCTGGGTTGCAGGCTGGTTCCCTGCAGGCCAGTTCCCAGCAGGAATGCATGAGAAGCAACCATACATTGATGTTTCTCTCCGTCTCTCCTTCCCTTCCCCTCTAAAGGTAAATAATAAAATTAAAATCTTTAAAAAAAAAAGTTAAAAAAAAGGACTAGGTAAAACATTAAAAAAAAAAACCTTGGAAGCAACTGGGACATCCTTCAGTAGGTGAATGGTACATCTAAATAAATACTGCTCAGTGCCAAGAGAATGTGCTAGCAAGCCATGAAAAGAGACAGAGTAACCTTAAATACGTAGCACTAAGGCCAAGAAGCCAATCTGAAAAGGCTCCACACTGCACAATTCCAACATGTGGCATTGCAAATTTGAAACTACTGAGAGGATAAAGATGTCAGTGGTTGCCAGGAGCTGATGGAGGAGGGAGGCTGAGTGGGTGCAGCACGGAGGATTTGTAGGGCAGTGATTGTGCTCTGGATGATATTGTAATGGTGGATAATACATCATTATATATTCACCAAAACCAACAGAACGGACAACCCCAAGAAGGAACCCTAAGGAACCCATAGTTTATGGATGCTGGGTGGTTAGGGACCACGGAGGCAGAGGGCGCTGGTAACTGAGGAGACTACATGTAAGGGGAGGCAAGGGCGTAGGGGAAATTTCTGCACCTTTCTCTCCATTTTGTTGTGAACCTAAATCTGCTCTAAAAAAATTAAGTCCCAAGAAAAAAAGGAGAACCCTAGAGAAACCGCCGAACGGTGCTCCAAAGGGGCTGTGCCCCTTCCTACCCCCATCAGTGGTGTGTAGGAGTCACCTTCCCCCTGCCCTCACCCATGCTCACTATGCTGAGTCTTAGACCTATTTTTGATGTTTGAGGTACTGTATTTTAACTAATCATTCTCCTATTAGTGGACATTTAGGTTGTTGCCAATCTCTGGCTACTACAAACAATACTGTAATAAGTATCTTTGTACGTGTAATTTTACCCACGTACGAGCATTCCTGCGACATAATTTGATAGAAGTATGAGGTAAAGGGGCATGGAAACTTGTTAATTCGGTACATGTTACTAAATTGCCCTCCGCAGAGATCATATAAATTTAAATTCTCACCAGCAAGAGGGACTATTTCACCACACCATCGCCAACCCAATGCATTAAAGCCTTGTGAACTCTGTCAACCTGAGAGCTGGACAACAGTGTGTCCGCACACTTCCCTGCTGTACTTCTCATCACAAGTGAGACGGAACTCCTTTTACATACTGAGAAGAGCCATTTCTTTTCTCTTTACTATAAACTGTTTACAATCCTTTTTATTATGGGCTATTTGACTTTTGGTTGTTGATGCATAGTTGTTCTTTACATATTAGGGAATTAGTTCTTTCTGATAAATGTAAATATTTCTTTTAACTTTGTTTATGGATTTTTGGGGAGAACAAAGCAAAATGTTCTTATTTTTATAAAGTAAAATTTATTGATATTTTCTTTCATGGTTCCTAGCATTGGAGCCTGTTAGAAAGAATTTTTCCAATTCAAAATTAAGCAAAACTCTCTGATAGGTTCCTCTAGTAGTTTCATTTTTTAAATATTTAACTCTCTGATCCTTGTCAAATTTTTCCCGGTATAAGGTGTGAGGTATGAAACCAACTTGTTTCTTCTCTAGAAAGAGATGGCTACACAGTCATCTCCATATGCACTACATAAACAGTGTGACGCCCTTGTCCCCCATGTATCTGAGATGCAACAACAGTTATCATGTATCAGATTCCCACAGGCATCTGTTACTCCATCTGGACTTTCTCTCCTTTTCCATTCATCTGCCTATTCGTGCACCACTACCACACTATTTTATTATGAGCACTTTATAATCAACTTTAACATCTGATAAATGTAAATTTCCTTTACTACTTTGCTTCTTCAGAATTTTCCTGGATCTTCCTGCTTGATTTCTCTTCTTTTAAACATGAATTTTAGAACTGATTCATCCCGTTTAAAAAAAAAAGTGTACTGATATTTTTATTAGGACTGACTTTAATTTACAGATTAACTTAGGATTTTGAGTCTTCACATTTCCTCATATGTATCCTGCACATTTTCCGTTAAGTTCCTCCCTGGTATTTCATCCTTTTTAAAAAGAATATTTTGAAAAGTTTATTGTATCAATAATTTGTACTGTACCTGGACTTCCTCAAAATAAACACAAAAAACTACAAACTTCTGTTGAACATAAAAACTTTAACTATTAATTAGTCTTAGTAAAGAACTTTAAGATAAAGCAATGTTATGGTAAGATAATTGAGGAAAGGCTAACAGGAGAAATATAATGACAGTCTTATACAAGCTGCAGATTTATAACAGAACAGTGCAGTGAAGTAACGGATATCCCATTCTGATGAACAACTAGAACAATGTAACTCAACTTGCGGAAACATGTGAGTCACAGCAAAGCTTCCCCCAACTGCCTAAAGTAATTACCAAAGACCATCAATTACCAGCATGGAACACAGTAACATATCACATATTGATTTTGTTATTGTAAATGAGGGGAATATTAAAAACATTATCAGTAAGATCATCTCTTTTTTCATTTAAGTGTCTTTTTAATTTTATTTTTCAAGCAGTCACGTTTAAACATAAAGGATAAAACAAAATTTGCCAGTTCTACTAATATCACATTTGCATTTCATCACTATCTCCAGAAATTATTAAAACTGATTTCCATTTCTATTAGTACAAGTAACTGTAATTTCTAGACCTTCCTTGAATTTTCCCACTATTTAAAACATTTTTTAAAATCTTACACATGCTTTTTACTCGGCAAGTAGATATGAGAACTAATGATCTAATTCTTCTAATATATTTCAAGATTCTACTAAATAGTACTATAAGGTTGTATAATGTGTTAGAAAGCAGGATAACACTGGAAAAGGAAAGTCATTTCACATGAAAAGTAATTCTCAGAAAGTAACGTATTAGATAGATTCACTTGATTACTGTTTTTATATAAAGTAAAATATGCATTTGTGGGAAAGTGCTCATGATAGTTCACAAAAGATAATAGCAATGTACATATAACCTTACAGCTTCACTAAATACTTTTTGGCACATTCCTAAATATTTTTTGAAACACAATGGAGTATATTTACATGTAATAAAATTATATTCAAAGCCAGTGATGTGAACAAAATTGAAATCGCGCACTTAATTATATGTAAATATAAAAAGCCCTTACTTTAAAGTTGCTTAATAGAATATATTTAACATATAATTAATCATTCTGAAAACTTATTTTAGTATTAGTCCTCTTGAACATAAAAAATCAATGTAGTAATGATATTACCAACTTACTGATTTTATTTTAAACAAAAAGATTATTACCTCCGTGGTTTTCCCATAAGCCGCCTGATTTTTCCCCATTCTACTCTTGTTAATTTTCTCGTTTTCAAATTAGGAAAAGATTCCTTTAGACATACACAGAAATCATTATCGCCTTCAAAGAGTGGTCTATAAAATACAAATGGTATTTTAATGGTTAACATACAATGTGATACTTGAGACATAAAATTAAAAATATGCATGTCAATTTTCAACATCAAACTAATCACAAAATGCCAAACTTTCCCTTCTACCCAAAACAGAAACACAATAGGTACATATTCAAAATGCTAAAGCTAAATTAAATCCTTGACATATGTGAAACAAATAATATGTAAAAGTTACTCAAGAAATAGTATCTGTGCTTGAGATGTCCAGGAGACACTGATTTTTGTTAAATCTCCTACAGGAGTCTGTCCTCTGGGGGGTTACCCTGGCACTGGCGTTGTATCCGGTGAGGATAAACAGTGTCAGCTATGAAGCGCCTGTCCAGAAGGTAACACCATCATCAAGGAGCCCTCTTTGAGGTTAACCCAGTTTTAGAAAACTGGAGAACTACAGGGGGTTAGATTAGGAATTCCAGAACTCCCATCACACTAGGACACCCTCAGAGCTTGCTTACACACCTATTGAAAATCCGTGGACAAAAATAAAACAATCCTATTCATGAGTTTGGGCAACCAGGAACCAGTAATAATACACAAAGGTCTTGGACTTTAAATAAGAACATTCATGAGATTCACAAGCTTTGAGTAGGCAATTAATTTGGAAAGCAGAGAAGGGAAATAAAGATAAGTAGCCAGCAAAGTGAGTGCCAATAGCTGGCATGGATTAGATTAGAATGGATGAGAAATCAGGATTTTTCTTCAGTAAATTCTGTTGAATAGATCTCACTGAAATTTCTTAATGTTTTATTTAAACATTTATGTGTAACTAAAGTACATAAGTACTACAACATGAGAAAGACTATCCTAAAAATCTAATTGAATCAGCAATTTCTCTGCTATTATCCTAGCACTTAAGATCTCAAGATTTATATAACCAGTTCCTTTCACTGCAAATCATGGTGCTGTTTCACAGTCTTTGTAAATTGTGTAGAAATTATACTTCCATTTTATTTTTCACTAAAATGTACAATAACTTATTCTTCAAAAGAGGAAAAGGGGAAGAAAACTATGAGAAATGGAAAGGGATCACACCAGAATGAGGAATAGAGAAAGGAATTTAGGACAAAATAGGATCAAAATGGACCTAGAGAAAAGGCTGTAGCTTATAACGTTTGAAAAACTTAAATCTTCTGTTCAAGTAACATTCACGCCACAAGCCCCGACACATACTTATCGATGTTTGAGTAGAACCACTCGTATATGCACCATTTGTGCGCTTTGGGAAGCTTGAGTAGGTTACGTAACCGAAAACCGATCTTCTGGGAGGCTTTCTTATCTGGTATTGACATTGTTGCTGTAAATTTCTGTACAAAAAACAAACAAACAAAAAAAATGAATTAGAGTTCCATTAGGTAAAAAAGATGATCTGTAACAATGAATACATTGTAAAATAGTAGATTGTAGTTGAGTACTCAAGAAGATTCAACAATATTCAACATGAAATGTCTGTTACTACTTAAGAAACATTCCGACCAACCCCGACCAAGTTAGAGCCTCAGGTCTCACAACGTAGTCTCATGAGGAAGGTGAAACACTTGCCCCACCACGTCCGCACCACAGTGCACTTTCAAGTAAGGTAGCAGGTAGAAGCTACTTGTGAGAGATACTCCTCGAGTTCTCGGGCCAGAAGAGTTCAAAAGAACTCTGCTACTCTTGAGACAGTGTGAGAAAAAACCAGCAAGCAAACAATAGGCCCAGAGGACTTCCAGAGCTCCGATGCTATTAAATTGTTCCAAATTACTGAAGACAAAAAATATGTTCCAAACTATTTTTATAAAGACAACATAACACAGACAGTAAAATTTGCCCAAGTAGAATAAAAGTTTAATTAATGAGTGAGAAAATATCACTAATTTCTGTGAATTTTTAAAATGCTTGGAAAGATATTCTACATTCAGGGATTGCAAAAATTAATACAATGTGGGGCAAAGGTAGGTATACAGTTCTTTGTATGGAAAATAATACAATAATTAATAAATAATGACATTAGAATAAATTGTGTCTTGCATACTCACAACTGTAAACCTACACTTGCCTTGCCCTGTGTTATTAAAATGTCCATAGTACCCAAAACAATCTGGAGATTTAATACCACCTCTATTAAAATTCCAATGGCATTTTCACATAAATAGAACCAGCAATCCTAAAATTTGTATGGACTCACAAAGACCCCAAACCTCCAAAGCATCATGGGAAAGAAGAACAAAGCTGGAGGCATCCTGCTCTGTGATTTCAAACTACACTGCAAAGCTCCACTCTTCAAGCTGCAGTGTGACACTGGCCCCAAAACACACAGGTGACAGGAATGGAACAGCCAGCCCAAATATAGACCCATACATATGATAAATTACTTCAAAGAGCCAAAAGAATATTTAATGGGGAAAGGACAGTCTCTTCCATAAATGGTACTTGGAAGTCTGGAAAAATACATGCGAAATAATGAAACTGAATTACTGTCTTACACCATATACAAAAACTAACTCAATAGGTATTAAAGAATTGAATGTAAAACTTGAAATCCTACAACTCCTACAAGAAAACAGGCAGTAACTTCCTTGACGCTGGTCTTGGTAATCATTTTTTTTGGATTTGACAACGAAAGCAAAGGCATCAAAAATAAAAATTAACAAGTGGGACTACATCAAACTAAAAAGCTTTTGTACAGCAAAGAAAACCAAAAACAAAATTAAAAGGCAATCTTCCGAATGGAAGAATGTATTTGCAAATTATATACTTGCTAGGAGGTTAATATCCAAAATATATAAAGAATTCATATAACTCAAGCAAAAACAAGCAAACAAACAAACAATCAACTAAGAATGGGCACGGTATCTAAACATTTTCCCAAAGAACACAGATGGCCGACAGGTACATGGAAAGATGCACCACATGGCTAACCATCAGGGAACACAAAGCACAGTGAGGTATCACCTCACACCTGTTAAAATGGCCATTATTAAAAAGACAAGAGTAACAAATGCTGGCAAGGATGTGGAGAATGGGGAACCATTGTGCATTCTTGGTAGGAATGTAAACCGGTATAGCCACTATGGAAAACAGTATGGGAATTCCTCAAAAAGTTAAAAATACAACTACAATATTATCTAGTAATTCCATTGCTGGCTAGTTATCAGAAGAAAATGAAACACTATTTGAAAAGATATATGCTCCGCCATGGTCACTGTAGCATTGTGAACAACAGCCAAAATACGGAAGCAACCTAGGTGTCCATCATGGATAAAAGAATAAAATGTGATACATATACACACACACACGCAACAGCCATTAAAAAAAACGAACTCTTGCTTTTGCAACTCCATGGACAGACTTTGAGGATATTACGTTAAGTGAAATAAGTCAGACAGAGAAAGACAAGTCCCATATGATCTCACGTACATGTGGAATCTAAACCAAACAAAAGCTAACTAACAAAAAAAAGTCCACACTCATAGATACAGAGAACAGACTGGTGGGTGGCACAGGCAAGAGATGGGGGCAGGCCAACCTTCTGCCAGGTTAGAAGGCAGAAACCTTCAGTTACAAAAGAAATAACTCATGGGGGTGTAATACAAAGTATGATGACTATAGTTAATAGTGTATTGCATATTTAAAGTTGCTAAAAGAGCCCTGGCTGGTGTGGCTCAATGGATTGAACACGGGCCTGCAGGAGAGGCAACCATACACTGGTATTTCTCTCCTTCTCTCCTTCCCTTCCCCTCTAAAGATAAATAAATAAAATATTTAAGAAAAATAAAGTGGCTAAAAGAGATTTTAAAAGTTCTCATTATAAAAAAAACATCTGTAGTTGTGGTGTCAGATGTTAACTAAACTTATTACAGTGATCATTTTAAATACATACAAATATCAAATTATTATATTGCACATTTGAAAGTAACATGTTTTGTCATTATATCTTAATTTTCTTCTTTTTTAAATGTTTTATTGATTATATAGCTTAATTTTTAAAAAGCTTAAAAAAAAGAAAGAATGCTACCAGATAAATACCATCAAAATATCAAAAGAGCAAAACATAACCAACAGAAATTTATGTCAAAAATCCAAGGATAGTAAACAAACAAAACAAAAAAAATAAAATAAACAAAACTTGCCATTATGAATAAATCAAAACAATAAAAATCATATCACCTCTGCTGATGCTAAAGACATTTGACGAACTTCAACATCCATTAAAACAACTCTTAATAGAATAGAAATAGAGGAGACCACTGAAAAAACACAATATGCTAAAAGTTAAATAATACAGCTAAAGTAATGCTTGGAGGAAATTTTAATTTATAGGGTAAATGCTCATATTAAAAAAGATGTTTAAGTGTGCACACCCTGTGATTCAACAAGTCCGCACTGTAGGCATCTGCCCTAGAAAAAGACACCGCACACCTATACAGACATGTTTGGGGAGTTCGCTACAGCACCACCTGTCGGAGTAAAGCCTGAGAAACCACTTAAATGCCTGTAGAGGGGAAGGCATAAATAAATTATAGTATCATAAGATGGAATACTATGTAACAGTAAAAACAAATGAAATAGTAAGGCCTGACTATCTTCCCATTCCATCCATCCACCTACATCAACCAGCACGCCAGACCTCAAATAGTTTTGAGTGAAAAAAATAAATTACAGAATGATGCATGATTTAGTATCATGAAATTGAAGTTGTAAATGTAATTTTAAAACTACACATATTAATACTATATATTTTCTGTGAACATATAGTTTTAGAAGTATTAAAAAGGTCAAAAGGAATAATTAAGCTAATTACGGTGGTGACCAGTAAATAAGGGAAGTAGATCTGGAGCGTAGGTAGAGGTCAAAATTAACATTTTTATTTTATTTTATTATTTTCTTAGTGGGTCTTCTGGTAAAGACAGGAAGACCCACTAGACAAATTAAAAAAGAACTATAAGCACTACTAACTTTTTCTTTATAAATTTCTTACTATGGAAGAACTGTGGACTTACAAAAAAGTTGTAAAGACAGCACCGAGTTCTCCCATGCCCTGAACCTAGCTTTCCCTAACTACTGTCTTACATAACCAAGGTTTGTCAAAACTGAGACGTTAATGCTAGTACACCACCATTAATTAAACTGCAGACTTCATTTGGGTTTCTCCACTTTTTCTACTCATGTCCCATTTCTGTCCCAGAATTCATACCGTACTTAGAAAATTAACTTTTTAATGCAAAAAATTGTTTGTGCTTTTTAACACAAAAATAGTTAAGCATCAAATAATAACCAAATTACTACAAAATATTATCACAAAAAGTACTATGTTTCTTTCCACTGAGTTACTGACCCAGATTTTTAAATGAGGTATTGGTGGCTTACTGGATATAAAACTGTATTAAGGAGCCCCTGCTGAGTATGGGGAAACATATTCAAACTATAAGTGGAAATTTAAGTTATTACAACTTTTTTGAATAGGTTTTTTTGGCAGTATCTTCTAAAGTTTAACTGTTAATACCCTTGTAGCAATGATATTTCTAGGGTTTATTCAAGCCACAGAAAATTGAGAAGGACTGTACTTGGGTGCAGGGTTTCTTCTGCGGTGATGAAAACACCTAAAACCGGCCTGATGGGCGCTCAGCTCTGTGCCTGCACTAAAACCACCGCACGGTGCACTTCAAACCCATGCACCGCACGATAGCGAACTGTATCTCGCTCACATGGTATGTGAATGGAAAGAAATACAAAAAGCAGGGCTCTGGAGACAGGACACCTTCACTCCGTACTTTGTGATCCTGAGCAAGACACTTCGGTGTCTGTTTTCTGATCTGAAAAACGGGAGACAATCAATATACTAGTAACCTATCTCATCAGATTGCTGAAGATTAAATCAAAGTAATACAAAAGAGGTGCTTAGAACAAGATCTACATAGTAAGAAGTCATAAGTAGGTTTTTATAATTTTTCAGCTTTGGGCAGTGCTCTTTAAAGAAGCACAGACAGCCCTGGCCGGTTGTAGCTTAGTTGGTTGGAGCATCGTCCTGTAACCAAAGGGTTGCAGGTTCGATTCCCATCAGGGCACCTACCTAGGTTGTAGTTTAATCCCCCCTGCCCCCCCCCCCCCCCCGCTGTTTTCTGTCTCACATTGATGTTTCTCTCTCTCCCTTCCCCCCTCTCTAAAAGCAATAAAAAAATGTCCTCGGGTGAGGATAAAATAAAAAAGAAACACAGACAGAATACAAGAATTTAGAGGGTGTGATTCGGAGGGGAAGGGAACAAGCCTCGTCATGTAAATGAAGACTGAAAGAACTAGGCATGTCAAGGCTGGAAACAAGGCAACTCCAGCCGTCGCACGTGGTGCTCAGAAGTGGGAAGGACGCTGAGAAAGTGTGAGGAGGAATGATGAGCCCGGAGGAAAGGCAGTGGACGGAGTTGGGGCGGGCTGGCTTTACAGCCGAAAAGACTGCAGTTTTCTGTGTGCTTGGAAATTTTCCTAATAAAAAGCTGGAGGAAAAAAACTTCAAAAACATCCGCATTTAGAAATTTTTAAAAACGAAAGAGTAGAGTATTCAAATTATCCTAATAACACAGCTCTATTAAAGTTAATACAAAAGTTATTTAACTATTTCTTATATTCACATAATCTTGTATCCAACACCTACCGAATCAAACAATGCACATTATGTATTAGTTTCAATTTTTAATTAAATTTTAGATGCTTATATACATTTGTCCTTGACACTAAAAAAAGTTCAATATATTTTTGTTCACTTTACAGAACATGAACATATTTTACTATTTTGTATTATCATAAAGGTATGTAAGACTTTTTAGAAATTTTTTTGTGAGGGGAAGGGAGGTCAATTGCTAGTCATACCTTTAATTCCTTTGATGCCCAATCCTTGGTTGAGAAAAATCACCTCTACTATGGCCCATCCTACTGGAAAATCTTATAACACTTTTGGGGAAAAAAATGACAGGGAAGTAGAAAATAACTATACCAAAAATAATAAATTTGATGAGAAAAATTACATTATTCTTTAATACTTTGTTATCCAATTTTCATTCATTCATTTGATTCTTACATATCCACTGAAATTTTTTTTAAAGATGCCAAAAATGAAAAAGGAGATACAATTTCATGCTGTGTATTTTCTGCATGCCAAACTCTGAACCAATTCCGTACTGTCAAATCCATTTGCTTAAAGTAACTACTTCCACACTTAAAAGAAAAGTGTGTAAGACTGAGGACTGGCTTTTTACTGTGGTTTCAAGTGCATCTTGAAACCAGAGTAGAAACAGTCTTTTCTAGGTAACTAACATAGGAGCTGAACTGGAACAGTGATTTAAAGAAAAGAACTTGTTACTCAAAATGTAACAAAATTAACATACACTTTATTGGGCTGAGCAATTGCTTATTTCCTATCGTGTGAAACAAAATGTCAGCACACACATACCTGCGGAACCATTGCAACCCTCTGGTTTCTTTTAGGTGATCTTGTATTTATTTGTCTGTCATCTTCATCAGAAAAGAGTCGACTTCGTTTTGAATTTCTGAAAGGCTATGATAAAAAATTTTTTTAATGAAAAGACTGAATTTTTTTGTTCCAAATATAATTCTGTACTTGGAAAATGCAGCTAACTCTAGATTATCAGCAAGCACTACAGAAGGGTGAAGTATGGGTCATACAAAGAATGCAAGGTCAAATACAAATGGCCTTAGATTTAAAGAGTAATAAAGATAAATGTTTATGCAATTGGTTTACAAGTAAAACACCTAGCTGAGGATTAAAACTAGAATCTAAATCTCCTTACTACACTGGCAGCCTGGAATGAAGATAGGATAATAAATTCTGGAAATTCCAGTTCTTGTTACATTGGTGTTTGGATTAACACCAGCTAGGTGTATCACACAATACACCTTTTGCAAAGGGTTGGTCTGGGGCAAAATTACTAGATCATTCTAGAGGGTAAATCTAAATGTATATAATATTATACTAGATCTGCTGTCAAAAATTGTTAACTGAATTTCCATTTATAAATAAAAATACAAGATACCTATAGCAGATGATAAATGCCTGTAGAACTAGAAAAAATTTAAGTACCCAAAGTACATCATACACTTAAGGGTCTATAATATGAACAATTTTATAGTCCATTCTAGGTTCTGAAGTCTCATTAATAAAGAATGACAGAAATAATACCCCAATAGCACCTGCATCCCTTTTCAAATCCTTCTTCCACTATTCGAGACAGACCTTCACACCTAGTTGGTAGGGAGGCAGGTAGGGAGGGCTAGCAAATATGGGCAGTATGTTGGGTCAAGGCTAGAAGTATGGATCCTTGAAATTAAATCTGCAGAGTCTCAACACTCCATAGCCCTGACAGGAAGTACCTTCTCCCCTGCTTCTCCTTCTCCTGAGAGAAGGAAGAGAATGATGGCGATAGAATTGATAGAGTGTAGAAAGTCCTCCCTGGCTGGTGTAGCTCAGTGGATTGAGTGCAGGTCGGCAAACTAGAGGTTCACGGTTCGATTCCCAGTCAGGGAACATAGCTGGGTTGCAGGCCAGTTCCCAGCAGGGAACGCACTAGAGGCGACCATACATTGATGTTTCTTTCTCTCTCTCCTTCCCCTCTAAAGATAAATAAAATCTTTAAAAAAAAAAATTTTTAAAAAAAAAAAAAAAAAGAAAGTCCTGCATATTCACTGAGGCCAGATGCCCAGGTTACTGTGACCACTGCTGTCTACCGAGCTCCAGACCTGTCTCATGATTGAAACCTAAAGCCTCCTGGTTACCTAAGTGGACAGGGGAGGAGCAGAGGTCCCCCGAATCATTAGTCCTGCCGACTGCATGTTCATCTCTCCTTGCCACCCCTAAATGCTTCTGTCATTGACCTACACAAGATTTTATCTTGTCTTGGCTGGGGTGGCTCAGTGGACTGTGAACTGAAAGGTCACCGGTTTGATTCCCAGTCTGGTCACACGCCTGGGTTGCGGGCCAGGCCCCAGTTGTGGGCACGGGGGAGGCATCCGATCGATATATTTCTTGAACATGGATGTTTCTCTCCCTCTTTTTCTCCCTCCCTTCCCCTCTCTACAAAAATAAATAAATAAAGTCTTTTTTTAAAGGAAGGAGATGGAGATATTAAAAAAAATTTTAATTATCTTACCACTTATTTATACATCTTTATGTAGGGACCACCATGTAAAACTTTTACTACCTAATAATAGTATGATTTTGGGTAATTTGGAGTTTTTCTCTGTTTTTGCCTATTTAAAAAAAACTACAAATGCTTAATAATGACCAAATTATCACAGATTACAGATTACTTATCTATCTCTGATCGTATACTGCTCGCTGACACTTAAAGACTCAACTGCTTGCCTGGCTGGGCAGCTCACTTGGTTAGAGCATCATCACAACACGCCAAGGTTGCAGGTTCAATCCCCAGTCGGGACACATGCAAGAAGCAACCAATGAATACACAAATAAGTGGAACAACAAATGTGATACTTCTCCCTCTCTTTCTCAACTCAATCAATAAAAAAGAAAAAGACTCAAGTGCTCAAAGTTGGCGGAAAACCTTGAGCAATGTTTACTGTGCTATAAGAACTTATACTTGACAATAATATAGACAATGTAGCTCATACGTTAAAGTGTGAGAAGAACTGATTCCTTACCATTTCCACAGCAGAGCCTGTATTCCTGCCTTTCCAAACAGGTGTTTTTTGTAAAGAACTGAACTTTTCATTCCATGTGTTAGATAAGCTTCCCTCTGTAATAAATAATTATTATCAATAAGACCTAAGTTTAGTTCAAAGGATTTCATACTATGAACGCTGCCTTTTTAACAACAGCAATATATATGAAACATTTACCAATATGAAAAAATACACTGACCGTAATGATTTTAGTTTATTACAAATGAAAATTTTCTTCTGTATATTTTTATTTGTCAAACTCTAAGTAATATGGCAAGGCAATGTATCTTGAAAATATTAAACTTTTTAATTAAAACATGTGGCTTCTTTCTTTTTGGTTTTTAAGAATTCCTCCATTTTAATTTTCTGACAACCATCTCATAGGTACAATCTAACTGAAATGGGGCAATGAAAAAAGTTGCTTCTAACCTTACATTTAAAGCTTGTATCTAAATGTTTTCTGCTTCAATATATAAAACCCTGGATATCAAAAAATGAAATGTGTGGCATTTCTGTTTTCCTTAGTTCAAAGAAATGTCTTGAGTTGTACGCAACCAGAAAAAATTCAAACGAGTGACTAGACATATTATGAAAAGGATGTTTAATTTTTATAAAAAGGGTATGTTTATACAGAGAAAGACATAGACAAATATAGTTAGTTTCATTTCCTTCTAGCTGCATATCAACATTTTCTAATTTTTTCTATTAGAAATTTATATCAAATATTTTTTGAAGAAAATGATTTTAATGTTGAGGAAAAATAATGAAATGCTTTTTCAAACGTTTATTTAAATATTTTATTTATTTTTAGAGAGAGGGGAAGGGAAGGAGAAAGAGTGGGAGAGAATCATCAATGTGTGGTTGCCTCTCATGCATCCCCTATGGGAACCTGGCCTGCAACCCAGGCATGTGCCCTGACCGGGAATCGAACCGGCGACCCCTTGCTTCACAGGCCTGTGCTCAATCCACTGAGCTACACCAGCCAGGGCCAAATGTTTATTTAATAAGTACAAAAGTAAAGAGGTGGCCCTGGCTGGTGTGGCTCAGTGGGTTGAGTGCCAGCCTGCGAACCAAAGGGTCACCAGTTCAATTCCCAGTCAGGACACATACCTGGGTTTCAGGGCAGGTCCCCAGTAGGGGATGCATGAGAGGCAACCCCACGTTGATGTTTCTCTCCCTCTTTCTCCCTCCTTTCCCCTTTCTCTAAAGATAAATAAATAAAATCTTAAAAAAAAAAAAAGAGGTGAGGTGGTGTTGATTTTGGTAGGCAAATAAATTAGGGTAACTGAAAGACAAGAGTGTTCAAGCCAGAAAGATTGAATCTGGTAAGTCACCAACTCAAAGTACAACAAAGTAGTTTTAAAAGTAAAAGTACTAATGAACGTTAGAGTATCTAGCTTGGTTCCAAATGTACTTACTTACCCAGTAGAATATTGCTCAAGGTAAAATTTAAAAGTGAACTACATTAACAGGGTTTGGCCTAATTAATACTACTTATATAAAGAAATAGTAAGACCAAGAAACATATCTTTTTCTCTTAAAAAGAGGATTACTGCCATTCTTTTATTTTTAAGAGACTTGCATTATTACTGAGAAGGCAAGATTCTTAAAAAATAAACTTATGTAAAAACACAGCTTAGAACAATTGTTTAAGAAATGCCTAAAAAAAAAGAAGTGTTTTAAATCTAGTAAGAAAGTTCTTTAATCAGTAATTCTAGGGAAACATTTTCTTAGTAATTTCTAACAACCAAGGACCAATTTTCATGTAACAGCATATGAATTTAAACTTATCATCAGTGAAAACCAATCATTAAAAGCTATAATGAGTCATAACAGAAAAAAAAACACTATATCCAAATTAATTTAATGACTTAAATTTCTAGCTTATGCCATACCTAAAGAATAATGCTATGAATCTTACCTTTCAAACTGACAAGGGCTTTTGCTGAAGAGCCTGCAATTAAAACAAATCAATATTATTTCATAATCAAAGTGAGAAAAAAAGAACTTGGTTTGGGGGTAAAAATGATCCATTTAGTTTTAGCAACGCTGACTTTGATATGAGGGGGGACGTGTAATCAGAAATAACTAGTAGACAATTTAAGCCACAGACCAGAGCTCAGATGAGGTAAGGAAGAATTGGAGAGACGGCTGGAAGTCTTACTGGAGTTGTGAGAAATGGAGACCTTTCCTAGGGAGGAAAATGGGGAAAGGGAGGAAAATGGGGAAAGGGAGGAAAGAGGAAGACTACAGACAGAGGCAATTTTGGACACTCATCTGGAAGTGTGCTGGTGTTGGAGAAGGGAAACAGGAAGGAAACCAATATTTATCGAGGCAAAGTTCAGAAGTGGTAATAGAGTGGAAAAGACAGAAATGACCCCGGCACTGTCCCAGCAGGCAGTGAGTCCCCTGGATGTCTAGAATGCGGATGTGCACAACACCTACGGATCCGAGCTGCAAAAGACGTGCAGAACAGGCCGGAGGAACTAGCATAGAGGTGGAGCAGATCACAGACTAAAAAAGCTTTGGTGTGTATCAGAATCACCAGGAAGCTCCTCCAACACACAGACTATGTACAACTGATAAAGGTCCTCAGGGGATGCTGCTGCAGGTGACCCTCGGGCTCACTCTGGGAAACGCGGACTGCTGGTGTGAACAAAGGAGAGGATGGATTTACAGGTGACGGGAAGTAGGAGAATCAGTAGAAGTTTTTAGGAAAGAGGAAAGATTTTAAATTGAAAATCTCTAGATTGTGTATGTGAGTTGTAAAAAAAAGTCCAAGTCATTCTAAAAATACTAAAGGGTTATCTCTGTCACTTATATGTAGCATTTAAAACAAACAAACAAACAAACAAACTCAGGTACATATACAGAGAACGGATTAGTGGCTGCCAGGGTGGAGGAAACAGGTGAAAAGTACAAACTTCTAGTCATAAGACAAATACATCCTGGGGATATAATGTACAGCATGGTGAATATGAAAGTTGCTAAAACAGTGGATCTTAAAAGTTCTCATCACAAAAAAAAAATCTGCAACAATGTATGGTAATGGGTATTACCTAGACTTATTGTGGTAATAACTTTTGTTATATATACATACACCAAATCATTATATTGTACACCTAAAACAGTATACTATCATGTCAGTTATATCTCAGTTTTAAAGAGAAGTTAACAGGAAAAAACCCTTTCTATGCAACAAACAAAAAGTTATTCACAGAATTAAGGATGAGCAAATCTTCTTTTAAATTAAAAAAATTGTTTAGTCCTGGCCGGATGGCTCCATTTGTTAGAGCATCGTCCTGATATACCAAGGTTGCAGGTTCAATCCCTGGTCAGGACACATACAGGAATCAACCAGTGAATGCATATATGAGTGGGACAACAACTGATGTCTCTCTTCCTCTCCACTCCCCCATTTCTCTCAACTCAATAATTTTTTTAAAACTGTTTAGAACACCTTTTATTTTTCTTTTACTATAATCAAATTATTTATCATTACTTGTTTTGAAATTTGTTTTACTTTATAACCAGCTACTTTAAAAAAAAGATTTTTATTTATTTATTTTAGAGAGAGAGGAAGAGAAAAAGAGGGAAACATCAATGTGTGGTTGCCTCTTGCACCCCCTACTGGAGACCTGGCCATGTCCTAGGCATATGCCCTGACTGGGATTAGAACTGACAACCCTTTGATTCATAGGCCTCCACTCAATCCACTGCGCTACACCAACCAGGGACAGGTACTTTTTTTATGATTTTATTTTTTAGAGAGAGGAAAGGGAGAGAGAAACATCAATCAGTTGCCTCTCGCATGCCTCCAACCAAGGATCTGGCCTGCAACCCAGGCATGTGCCCTGACTGGGAATTGAACCGGTGACCTTTTAGTTGGCAGGCTGGTGCCCAGCCCACTGAGCCACACCAGCCAGGGCTGTACCCAGCTACTTCTCATCTTGGTTACTGTGATATCTATTTATGTTTTAAAGACTACAATCTAAGATCAGGCAGTAGTGAAGTTATTTGAAGAGTGGTCAGTTACTTGCACTGAGAAAAGACAAATTTTTAAATGGCATGTTCAAAATGTGAGTAAACATCTTTAAGGAGCCAGTCCATCATGACACTACACGCATAAAAATCAATAAATACAGGATGATATCAGGGGATAAAGAAGAACATGAACTTACACATAAATCAGTGAAGAAAGATGAGTTCTCCTTGGTGTTTAACAAAAGCAGCAGAGTTACAACTCATAAATGGACAACAGACCTTAAATGAAAAGCAACAGAGAAAGTACTGCAGTTCTGTCTATGAAACATTTTTATGCATTTCAGATCCTTAAACCCGAATTGACTTTTCCTCCACAGGGCAGTGTGAGCGGCTTATAGAATAATAGGCAACCCATCAACATCAAAGCCACTGTTGCTTTCACTCTACTCTCTTCTTGGATGTGGAGAGTGGTCAGCAGGACAACCCAAGAGCTTCTGTACGGCAAGTTGAAGTTCAATGACCAAGGGCAGGAATGTTGAGGGGAGAGCAGTCAGGGAGAAATGCTGTAAAGTCTTGCCAAAACACCAGTCATACAGCACCACTGGGAAGCAGCAGCAGTAGACAACACATATCCACGCGGCTACCACGAGAAACACGGCTCTCTTGAGAAGAAGCAGGCACTGTGCCCTCACGTGCTGAGCACCTACAGACTGCCGGCTGCACCCCAGCCCCTGCCACCGACACTGGGAGAACACAGCATGCAACAGAGCCGAACACGGAATCCACGGTCTAGTGAGCGGAGACAAACAAATGCTACCTGAAAAAAAATGCTGCAGGATAATAAGGACAGAGAAGGTAGGGTGAGGCTGGGGCGGAAAGACTATTTTTCTGCAAAGTGCTCGTGATTAGCTTCTCTGAAAAATGTTTGAGCAGACATCTGAAGGAAAAGGGGTGAGCAGCAAGGCTCTCCATCCCTGCCCCCTGAAGATGGGAGCTCTGTCTTGGGGATTCTGACCCGCCACTTGTAACCTTTTCCCACTTTTGAGAGGCAGTATTGCACGGTGGTGGTTGACAGCACAGACTGGGACTAGTAATCTTGGCTCTGCCACATTCTTGCTTTGTTACCTTAAGCAAGTTACTTAACCACTCTGTGCTGCTGATTCGTCATTTGTAAAATGGGAATTAATTTATACATGTAAAAGTGCTTAGAGAACAGTGCACATAGCACATGGCTAATTTTCATATTATGCTATTAGTATTACTTTGATCAATTTTTTAAAATCTACTAGATTAAGAACATGGATTTTAGCCCTGGCTGGTGTGGTTCAGTGGACTGAGTACCAGCCTGCGAACCGAAGGGTCTTTCTAGTTTGACTCCCAGTTCAGGGTACAAGCCTGCGCTTCGGGCCAGGTCCCCAGAGGGGGATGCATAACAGGCAACCACACATTGATGTTCCTCTTCCTCACTTTCTCCCTCCCTTACCCTATGTCTAAAATAAATAAATTAAAAAAAAAAAACACATGGATTTTACAGGCATGTGAAATTAAGTTAGAATCCTGGTCTAACTGGGTATGTTCATTCATTCATTGAACACATACTCACTGAGTGCCTGACATAGAACTATCCTAAGACCCGGGTTAACAAAAGGAAAAGATAAAGACTCTGCTCTCTAGTGGGAAGAGGCACACTCTAGGAAGAGACACACGGTAAATAAGCACATAAAATAACCACCCTCGTGGTGGTTGTTACAGAGGAAGGTCATCTCAGCGTGGGAAGTTACTTTACACACGATAGTTAGGGATGGCTTTTCTGAGGCGCAAACATTTGAGGGGCCAGCCATGAGGGAGCAGGAGGTCAAGCCAATGAGTCTGGGCGGAATAGCAGGTAAAAAAGCCCTGAAGTAGAAAGTTTAGCACATTCAAGGAAGGGAGAAAGGGAAGGAGGCCATCGAGCTTGGGGAGTAGCTATTGAGGGGCAAATGGTATGAAAAAAGGTCAGAGACACCTGGTGTTACACATAGGACTGGAATGTACAGATGGAGAACAGTAATGTACCCTCTCCAGTGCAGCTTCCAACCGGAGCTCCCCAACCACATTAACAAATGTGAAGCTGCAAACTGTGACAGCTGCCACTCAGAAGTCACATAGTTGTATGCAAAGATTTAATAAGAAGATGTAATCTTTGTCAGGAAGGATAGAAAATAGCTGGGATCTAAAGGATAAGCAGAAGTTAAGCAGAAGTGAGGAGAAGGAAGAACACTCCAAGCAGAGAGAAGAGTGCAAAGGCCCGCATGAAAAAAAAAAAAAAGAAAAAAAAAAAAGAAAGCCTGGTGAGTACAGGGAATGAAAAAGATCCAACTGAGCTCAAAGGGATGGAATGAGAAGGAGAGAGGTATAAAACGAAGCTGGAGAGGTGGGGAGTGGCCAGACCATGAAGGGTCTTATAGCTATTAAAGTGTCTGAAGCAGCAGGGTGACATTATATATGAGTATGTATATATATCACATATATTCATATATTTTTATACATGTTTTTAATATATACATATATATTTTTTACAAGGATCACTCTGTGAGGGCTGAAGGGGTGGTAGGAGTGAGCCAGTGGATTACGAGAGGCTGAAGTGATTGGTTCCAGGAAGAGATGCTGTCGGCTTGGCCTAGGCTGATGGTGAGAAGCAGGTGGATTTTTTTTTGGAAGGCAGGAATTACAAGACTTAATAAAGCCTTAAATATGAAAAGTGCAAAAGGGGGAAGTTCCAAATGTAATTTCCAGGTTTCAGCTGAATGCACAGTAAAGCCATTCATTAGGAGAGGAACCACTGGAAGTATCTCGGTCCTGGGGTGGAGCGAGGCAGACCTTGAACCTGTGGTGTCTGAGAGGCCCCAGGTGTCTAAGAGATGTGAAACAGGCAAGAGACGTCAAGAACAGGAGCTCAGAGGGCAGACCTGGGCTGAAGACAGCCTCGGTCTCCTCATACATAAAATTAAAGTAGTAAGAGTACTTACCTTGACTGAAATAAGCATTAAGTGAGCATATCGTATGTTTCATACAGCAGCTGGTTTATACTAAGTACTCAATAAATGGTAGCTTTTAACACTGATAATATTATACCAGTTATTGGCTAATTTATTAGCTGTTCCCCTTGACTAAAACTGACAAATAAACATATTGCTATTTCCTGCATCCCTTTTCAAGATGCAGCTCCAGCTGCATTAATAATGCCTCTTATCCTACATTCAATTCCATATAAGAAAAGTGACTGTGTGTCTCTGTGTGACACTGTGTGACTAACCAGGTACAGCATCCTTGCTTTCAACAAGCTGTGGTCTAGGGGAACAAGATGCACACCACACACGCACGCCACCCCCCCACCAATGTACCAGAGATGCCACAAACTAGCACAGATGATGTTACCCAATTTGAGAGTGTAGCTGGAATTAAACCCTACTAAGAGTCCCGTCTCTACAAAGATCCACTGTAAGTCCTTGTTGAACACTGAATGACGAGCAAATAAATGTCCCAGATGACAGTTGTAAGAAAAGCACTTAAAACACCCTTCCTTTGAACAGGATGACCACAGCAACTGAAGCAACAGCGATAGTGGCTGTGACTTCTAATAACTGATGAAACACCTTTGTGATAAAGACAGCAAGGATTTTCAGGCGACACATACATTGTGCTTAGCAGGCCCACCCTTACCTGGGAGCATCCTAGATCAGAACCGACTGTTTACTCCAAACAAAAACAATAAAACCCCTGGATGCTCCATAGTTGTGCCCTACCCAACACTGCAGCCACTAGCCACGGGTGACGACTTCCATTCAAATGAAGGAAAATCAAGTAAAACTGAAAATTCAGTTCCTCAGGCGCTCCAGCCAGCGGCAGGTGGTTGGTCACTACCCTCTCCATTGTGGCTGAACAGACAGAACACGCTCCTCACAGTGAAAGTCCCACTGGAACTTAGCACTGGCGGGGGGGCAAACGTAAAACGCAAACTCTTCGAATGCAACTCTCCACCACTCTGGCCACTGAGCTGTTACTTTAACTTTACAGCACAGTATAAGTCTATCACAACGAGAACCGAATTGGCTTTCATTTTCAAAGTGTCTGTTTGCCTCTTGCCCAGATGAGACCTCACAGTGATTGAGCCTTGTGCTTTTTGTTACACTAAAACTCTCAGAAATGACATAAATACATAAACTGCATAGTGAGCAGTGGGGATCAGGACCTCCCTGTAACTAACGAAATGACTTGCCTTTTCATATCCTTTACACACTATAGTAAATTACAATACTGTGAAGTTCCCTAGCGCTCGAACTAGGGAACTGGCGCTGTTCCTTGCTCAGCACAGGTGAGCGCACAGGTGGGAGAGGGCGGGGCGGGCGAGCAGGGGAGGCGAGGCAGCGCGCGGGGTGGGTGTCCGGAAGGCACGGCGAGTGCGCGCCGGGCCGGCCGCGTCCGTGGGTAAAGGTGTCCCCGCGAGTCCTAAGGCACGCGCACAGAAGAGAGTCGGTGGGACAGGGGCCCCCGCACACGTGCGGACCCCGTCCGGATCCTCTCGGGGAAGGTCCGCGGCCACCTGTGGTCCCGGGGGAAGGGGCCAGCCCTCTGACACGGAAACACTTCCAGGGGTGGACACACGGGGCGCGGGGGGGGGGGGAACGGTGAAGATCACAAGTGCCCGTGGAGGCAGGGGCTGTGACAGGACAAGATCGGAGGCTGCGGCGGGGAGGAGGGGCCGTGCCCGCGCTCCCCGGCCCCGGGACGGGCGGGTTACGTAACCCGCCGGGCGTCCCTCCGCGCTCGGCGAGCGGTGCCGGCGGCGAGGACGCTTCCCGCGGCCCGGGGCCCCTCTCCCCCGCCTCGGCCCGGGGCCGGAATCGGGCCCGGGGAGCGAGCCACCGCCTCCGCCCCGCACGGGCTGGGCCCCCGGGCTTTCGGTTCCGGCCCTGGCATTCCCACAACCCCAGAAACCAACACACAGACACCATAACAAAGGCGGCGACGCGGCGGCAACACCCGGGTGGGACGACTAGGGGCCCACGGCGGCGCTGGCAGTCAGCCCACGTGCCGGGCAGAGGGCACGGCCGCCCGTCCCGGCCGGTGCCGCCCGGCGGCAAGCGGCCGGCGGGAAGCGGGGGGTGCTTTGATGTGCTACTCACTCTCGTCAGGCAACTGGTCGAGCTCCGCCATCTTGAACGAGCCGCGCCGCTTTTTCAAAGGCTGCCCGCCGCGGTGCATTGTGGGGCGGAGACTGTCTTTGCGAGGGAGGTTCGAATGCAGAGCTCGCTGCCCGCGGCGCCGCGTCGCGCCGCTCCCGCCGCGGCCGGCGGAGGGGGGCAGGCCGAGGGGGGCCGGGCTCCTCCCGCGCCTGCCGGGGGAAGGGGCGCCGCGGGGCCGAGCGGCCCCCCGCCCCTGGCCCGAGGGAGGCGGCGGGGAGGCCGCGCAGAGAGGCCCGTCTCGCGCCGCCCGAGCGCGCGGTGGGGGCCGCGCGAGCTCCGGAGTCCCGCCGGCCCCGCTCCCGGCCCGCGCCGCCCGCCCCCCCAGGGGCTCGCTCCCGGCTCGCGGTTCGCGTCTCGCGCTGCGGCTGCGGGAATTGCAGGCTGTTCCGAGTGGGAAAGGGAGGGACGGCGGGAGGGAGGCCCGGGAGCACCGCGGCGGGGCAGGGGGCGGCACCTGCGGGCCCCGCGCGGGGAAGGGAGCCCCCGGTGCCGGGCGGCGTTACCCGAGGGGGCTCTGCTCCCAGTCGGTGTTCGCCGCCCCCCAAACCCACGTTCTCCGGCGTCGCCGTGCCCTCCCTTCTCCGGAAAAGCCGGGGGAGGGAGCGGGGGGGGGAGGGCTCAGGCCGCAGCCCCGCCGCCGGGCCGTCTCCGAGTCCGGTTCCGGTCGGGGACGCCCTCCTCCCCGCTGTCGGGATCCCGGCGGGCCGGAGAGACCTTGAGAGGTCACGAAGTTAGTCATTTAGGTCATCGGCTCAAGAACTGTGTTGCTCAGCTCTTTCATCCAGTCGGCGCTAGACGAGGCGGGGAGCCGGGGGAGAATGACAAAACCAGCGACGGAGGTTTGTGGAGGATGCAGGGCCAAGTCGGCAGGGACACTACGCGACAGTCCAGCCCGCCGAACGGCGCGTGACGGGAACCCTGGGCGAGAAGTCAGCCAGTTCCCAACGGAGCCGGGAGAAGAGACTCACCGTGCCCGCCTGTAGCACTGCCCAGCGATAAACCCCTGTTGCTTTTTACAGTTCGTTTAACAAATGCGAGGGGTTCCAGCGCTTTACACCCAGGAATGTAACGGGAGTGGGGGAATAGGGCAGTCCAACACTGAAAATTCAACAGGGGTGCATGCCGAGAACTAAGAAGTTACAAAAGTGGTGGCCTGAGATGAGGACAGCAGAACACAGGCCAGCGCGCCTGGCATTGAACTTGCTTTGAGACCCGAAGTGATGGAGAAGTCGGTGTTTGAATAGCGGTGGTGGCACGTTCCCATGTGTGTTACGGAGCAAAAATGTGGGTGATGGGTGGATGGGAGGGAGACAAGATGAGAGTCCGGGAAACCAGTCGGGAGGAAGCTTCTTGGGGCTGGCAGGCCAAGGAGGCGAGCCACCCTGGAGCATCAGAGAGGGGGCTCTGCAGTCCAAGGCCTGGCTGGGGTTCGGGGGGCTGGTGTGTAAACTCAGGCAAGTTTGTTTCTTCATTTAATTCCCTGTGCCTCCGTTTCTCCTGTGTGAAATGCAGATAGTAACAGGGTGGTTTTGAGGATTGAATGAGTTGATGGCTGTAAAAACCTTATACTTTCCAGCACCCGTTCTAGCTCAAAGGTTTGCTGATGCTACCACCGCTGTAGAACAGGGACTGTGATTGGTGGTGCCAGCGCTGAGCCTCGGGTAACTGGGTGCTGCCGCTTGCTGGGGGTGGGGCGGGGAAGGCAGGATGTGAGCAGAGGTGTAAAAATTCAGTTTTACAAAGTAATCCTTCCTGGCTAACTTACCCCCTCCTGTGCCTTCTAAGCACGTTCTGATCTACCTTCTAAGAAAACAAGGAACAATTGATCCCTGTAGTGTGCCCCTGGGGGGGTGGGGGTGGGCAGTGGGACACTATCAGTTTGGAGATGGATACAAGGAAAGGTCAACCCTCTGAATATGAAAGAAGAGAAACAAACAAAGATAAAGCAGGTTAGGGGAGTGGAAGTAAAAGTTTAAATGTAAACCATGGTCAAGGTATCTTTAGACCAACACCAGTCAGGTTTTATGCTAAGCCAGTTTTCACACACAATTGCAGGTCTGCTGTTTAAATATGTATTTTTAGACCCCTCCTTTGGTTATCTGCATTTTAAACAAAACCCTTAAATGAGTTCTCACACTCTGAAGCTTGAAATTGTACCCCCACAGCAGACCTACCCCTTACTAGCTGTGTGCCTGCAAACAAAGCCCTTAACTATTATTCTCAGTGAGGTTCTTTATTAGATTTATGAGAGAGGTTTTAAAATCTCTGGTTTACTCGATTCTCCGAAATACGTCTTGACTCGTTCAAGGACAACCTCCACCAGATGATAGAATCAGGGCTCTGGCCTCCTTTTCTCACTTCATTTTCTTCCTCTATGATTTCACCACAGGACTGTTAAATTTTAAATTCGTATTTCGATTTACAATGACATTGCATAAGAGTTACTGCTTTAAGAAAAAACTGGACAAGGATACTAAATCATAGAAAATCTAGATAAAATACACCATAAGAAAAATAAACAGCCAAATTTTAGGCATATCAGGTTTGATCATTTCCAGTCCCATGGCCCATTTATCAAATATTGCATTATTTCTGTGTAAACTTATGTACTTCAAAGGACATTATCAAGAATGCAAAAAGACAACCTTCACAATGGGAGTAAATCTTTGTAAATCATATATGGTAAGGGACTTATATCCAAAATACATAAAGGACTTATAACCAAAATATATAAAGAATCTTACAACTTGATAATTAAAAAAAAGAAATAATCCTATTCAAAAGTGGGAAAGGCGCCAAAAAATGTACGAAAAACCAATGAGCACACGAAAAGCTGCTCCCCATCATTAGTCATTAGGGAAATGCAAACTGAGACACTACTTTACGCCCACTGGGGTGGCTGTACTCAGAAAGGCAGATAATAACAGGTGTTGACAGAGTTCTGGAGAAACTGAAACTCGTCCACAGCTCACAGCTGGTGGGAACCTAAAACAATGCAGCCACTATGGTAGTTCCTCAAAAATGAAACAATGACTATATGATCTAGCAATTTCACTTCTGAATATAGGCATATGTCAGAGATATTGTGGGTTCAGTTCTAGACCACCACAATAAAGTGAGTATTGAAATAAAGCAAGTCATAATTTTTCTGCTTGGAGGAGCTGGCTTTCAACTTGTTAAAAAAAAAAAAAGAACCTGTGAAGCACAATAAAGAGGTATGCTTGTCTATACCAAAAGAATTGAAAGCAGGGTCTTCAGGTATCTGTACACCCATATGTTCATCGAAACATTATTCATAACAGTCAAGAGGTGGAAGTAATCCACATGTCCGTCCCCGGATGAATGGATAGACAAAATGTGGTAGACAGGTAATGGAATATTATGGAGCCTTAAAAAGGAAGGAAACTGATACATGCTACAAGTGATTGAACCTTGTGGATATTATACTAAGTGATTACGGCAGTCATAGAAAGACCAATATTTTATTATTCCACGTGTATGAGGTACCTAGAGTAGTCAAATTCATAGTGGCAAATGGTTGTTGCCTGGGGCTGGGCGGAGGAGAAATTGGGAGTTACTGTTCAGTGGGGACAGGGTTTCAGTTGGGAAAGACGAAAAAGTTCTGGAGATGGATGGTGGTCGTGGCTGTGTGGCAGTGTGACTATACCTAATGCCACTGAACTGTGCACTTAAAAACGGTTAAAATGGTAAACTTCATATGATGTATGTTTTATCACAATAGAAAATTCTCCTTTGCAAAGACAGTACACACAATATAATCCCATTTACAAGTATATAAGCAGGGGATTAAAATCCTGAACAAAAGATACCCAGTAGTGGCTACACCTAGGTGGTGGGATTATGGATCATTTTTATTTTCTTTGTATCTATATTTACCATTTTTCTACACTAACATTCTTATTACTTTTGTCATAAAAGCAGATATTGAATACAGGTATATTCATATGGTGGAATAGTATTTAGCCATAAAAAGGAACCTAGTACTGATACATACGAAAGTATAAATGAACCTTAAAAACATGCTGAGTAAAAGAAGCTGGTCACAAAAGACTACCTATTGTCTCATTTCATTGATACGAAATGTCAGAATAGGCAAATTCATAGAAACAGACAGTGGATGAGTGCTCGCCTAGGGCTGGTGGGTTGGGGAGGAAGAGGGAATAATTTCTAAAGGGTCCAGGGTTTCTTTTCGGTGTGAAGAACATGTTCTCAAATTCGCTGATTGAGTCTGATGATGGCTGCACAACTCTGCATAGACTAAAACCCGTTGAACAGGACATTTTAAATAGGTGAATTGCGTGGTGTGTGAATTGCATCTCAATAAAGCTGCTACAGGAAAAAAATCTTACTTTTCAGACTTTTTAGGTTTTGTCTTCATCTAAAGATTTTGGTAATTGTTCTTTACAGAATCCTTTTCTGAGCCAGGTAATGAAGATGCAAAGTCAGGCACTCTGCTGGGCCATTTCATGGTTTTGTTTATTTATTTATAGAGAGATGAGAAGGGAGGGAGAAAGGAGAGAAATATTGATCTGTTGCCCCTCACATATGCCCTGACCCAGGACCAAACCAGCAACCAAGGCATATGACCAGACCAGGAATCAAACTGGTGACCTTTTGCTTTGCAGAATGATGCCCAAACAAGCCACGCTGGTCAGGGCTGGGCTGGGCATTTTAAACAATAGCTACCAAAACAAAACAAAAAAAACAATATCAAACTGCTTTCCTTTCCACTCTATCTTTTCTGCCAAACATTCTACTTACTATTCTGCAAACTGTACTAGAAAGAGAGGCTGTCCTTCCTGTGGCCCCAAGTGTCTACAGAAAGATGCAAATTGCATTCTTGACAGATCCAGTTTCTTTAGAATAACCCAACCCCTAGGAGGGTCATCAAATACCTGTTTCTCCTGCAACTCAGGTAAAAGTATCACATATTAAAAAAAAATAGAAGGGATTGTTAAACCTACTTCCTAAGAAAGTATCGAGAATTGAATGAGATTACTTATGTAAAATACCTGGCCCGGCTCCACCCCCACCCCCCCACTCTTCGCTGTATCCTATGTCCCTAAATGGTATCCAGAAGGAACTAAATGTTGTACTCCCAAGACACAACTTCCAAAGACAGTATGCTTGCAAAACTTACTGGTGTATCCCACGTCATTTGTGGAAGTCTCTGTTTCTCAGTCTGCAAAATGGAACCAAAGTTAAGGAAAAACACCACTTCCCTCAAGGAATAATAGCCACCTCTTTCATCAGCTATCTTGCATAAAAAATGAAAGTTATTAATAGATGATCCCATGGGAAGGAAAGCAGAGAGCCATATTTCCCCCACACATGAACATAATCATTGTCCAGAATTTTCTGAATGAATCGGTGACATCAACTAGAGGGCACCTGTGACCAGGCTCCCCAGAGTGGCAGGGGGTGGGGGGGAGGCAGGGCTTGTCATCAGGGCTGCCCAAACCAGAAAGATTGTTCCTTCAGGACATGGATGTGTCCATAGGGTGTCAGGAAACATCAACAGCTGGATGTCATTGATTTCCCTTTCTCTTCTTCACCCCCAGTATCCTGAGCAATTT